TTATTTTTCCTTTCATCACGATGTTTACTTTAGTCCATCTTTACCTTTCTCATCTTCTTGTCTAAAAATGATGTTTTCATCAAATCTATAAACCCCATCCACCTACTCGAACAAAAGAAAGAATTTTGGTTTTGTATGTTATCATCTTATCTCATCTCATCATGACGAGGGCCATCAATGCCTGTGTTTCATTATTTCTTTTATTGTTTTTATTTGTTGCTCAACTCATTGGAGCAGCGGATTATGAGGTTGTCCACAAGATCATTAATGATGGTGGTGCACTAGAAAACTCTGATGTTGATGATTGAAAATTGTAACACCTCATTCTAGAACCGTTTTGTTACATATAATATTAAGCACAATTACAATTACATCAGTTGAATTAAATTACGGATTACTTTTTCTTTAACTTCTTTATTATTTTATGCTAAATATTTAAATCTGTACTCAAATAATTTAAATACTTAATTGTAACACATACGTTATGTGGAAACAACTTAAATATGCTTAACTTCACTTATCGTGTAGTCCTCATAAGCGACAATGGTGTAAAACTCATTATTTTTATTCCTTTGCAGTGCACTAACATTGGTTTCAAGTTAACAACTTCCATGATCGTTAGCAACTGGCTAAACTCAATACCCTGTCGTTCCTTACATGAACGTTCATCTCTATAGTGAAGCTAACCTTTACGAGTAGGAAATGGGTGGATTTAGTCAATCTATCAACTATAACCCAAATAGAGTCATCATCAGCCTGTGTCCTGGGCAATCCAACAATAAAGTCCATGGATATACTGGCCCACTTTCACTCTGGAATCTCCAGTGGCAAAAGTAAACCGACTGGTCTCGATGTTCAATATTAACTTTTTGACATATAAGGCACCGAGAAACATATTCTGTTATGTCCCTCTTTATTCCTTCCCACAATAAATTCTTCTTTTGATCCTAATACATCTTTGTGGTACCTGGGTGGATGGTGTACTGACCCTTATGGCCTTCAGCCAATACATCCTCCATTAGTTGGCCCTTAGGCATAATTATTCTTTTCTGATAAACCAAGAAGCCATTGCTATCAACTGAAATCCCTTTCTGTCCCTTCAAGGATTTTAAGCTCTCATCATTCTATTGAGCTAATTTAATTCTTTCAAACAATTCATTATGAACCTCTATTGTCTTTGTCTCAAGACTTCCATTACCTTTACTCATAACCATATTCAAGTCTCATAATTACTCAATTAGGTTGTATTATTCTATCATCATGCTTGCTACATTAACTGTTTTTCTGCTTAAGGAATCAATTACTACATTAGCTTTGCCCGGATGGTACTTCATATCAAAGTCATAATATTCCATAAACTTCATTCATATTCTCTGTCTCATATTGAGTTCTTTCTTGATTAAACAAGTATTTCAAACTCTTATGATCACTGAAAACTGTGAAGTTAACACCGTATAGAATATGCTGCCATATTTTCATGGCAAACACTATGGCCGCTAACTTCAGATCATGTGTAGAATAATTTTCTTCATGCAGCTTTAACTGTCTAGATGCATATGCAACAACCTTTCTACTTTGCATCAGCACACATCCTAACCCGATCTTAGAGGCCATCACAATAAATCTCAAACTCCTCTTCTGGATCAGGAAGAGTGAGTACTGGAGTTGTAGTCAATTTTTCTTTAAGATTTTGAAAACATATCTCACACTCATGGGTTTATACAAATGAAGTACCCCTCCGTGTCAAACGGGTCAAGGGTAATACCATCTATGAAACCCCTGAATGAATCTTTTGTAATATCTGCTAAGTCCAAAAAACTTTTGATTTTTGTTATTGTCATGAGTCTTTTCTAATCCATTACTGCTTCTATTTTACTAGGCTCCACTGCTACTCCTTTAGTAGAGATAACATGGCCTAAGAATTTCATCTCTGAAAGTCAAAATTCACATTTAGATAGCTTAGCATATAATTTTTTCTCTTTCAATATATGTAAGACAATCATGAGATGCTTTGCATGCTCTTCATTACTTTCAGAATAAATTAGGATGTCGTCAATGAAAACCACTACAAATTGATCCAAGTAAAGCTTAAATATATGATTCATGTAATCCATGAATATCGCAGGTGCATTAGTGAGACCAAAAGGAATTACTTGGTACTCTTAATGTCCATATCTGAATTTGAATGCGGTATTTGGAACATCTTTCGACTTGACCGAGATCTGATGATAACCTAACCTTAGGTCAATCTTTGAAAATATACAAACACTCCTCAACTGATCTAGCTAGCAAATCATTAATGCGAGCAACATATACTTGTTCTTCGTTGTTACTTTCTTCAATTGTTGGTAGTCTATACATAATCTCAAACTTCTGCCTTTCTTGTTGCCAGATAATATTGATGCTCTCCATAGAAACACACTTGACTTGATAAACTTCTGACCTAATAACTTTGCAATCTATTTCTTTAAGTCACTTAATTCAAGTGGAGATGTGCATTAGATGGGTGCACATTTATCCACGGTAATTTTTCCACGATTTAACCATGGCTAATGTTTACTCAAGGAAATTATATAATTTACTACACTTTTAACATGAAGTGGGTGTGTGACTGTTTTTGTCACGCTTAAACCGTGTAAAAGAACTTTAGCTAATTAAAATTACGGCACTTGGCATGCTTAAAAGTCTATCAACTCCATGCGCAACTTAAGCGTATATTCTCGTAATACATGTTTTACTGTATTATTTTGATAATTCTTTTCAATTTTGATTAATTTTTTTAAATGACATTTAAATGGTTAAAAAGCCTCCAATTCTTCTATAAATTTTTCCTATATTTTTCACATGGTATGCTTTCCTTTCCAGTTTGCTGCGTTTCTTATACCTCCAATGAGTACAAAAACATTGACTACAAATTTTTAGTTTTTTACAATGGGTTTGCAACTTCTTTTGTTACGGTAGAAGTTGGGATATGTATCAGAGAGAAAAAAAAAAAGGTGGGGTCTATCATATTTAATTTTAAAAAAATCAAATTATTTTAAATCGGCTGCAGGTCTTAGAAGTATTTTCCCCTTTTACAATTTATATATGTTCATCGTCTATTTCATTCCAATCGCCTTTTGCCAATCATTTCAGGATTAATTGCTAGGGTTATCATAAGATTCATAACTATTAATCAGCTGATTAGTTTCTACCAAATTCCCAGTGTAAGATACTGTAGGCTATATTATGGACATGTAGCAACTTAGCATATTCCACATCGCAACGAGCCAACGAGTTCATTAATGAAATAATTATGTCTCATAAAGCGTGTATTAATTTAATTTTTTTATTTATCTATTACAACACTTCGTCAACTAATTCCTTTTAAACTTTTTAACATAATTTTTATTAATTAAGAAAGCTAAATTTGGGATCGATGCTTAGGCTAAAATAATAAAAGTAATTATTCTTAATTTTTTCGTATATTATAACTTGAGAAAAATAGTTATCATTTTAAATGGGATAATTTTATATTATTTTAAATAAAAATATCTTTTCTCCCTTTATTTATTTAGGGGATGTATTGGATTAGAATTTTAAAAGAATTTTTTAAGATAAAAAAATCTTATAGATTTTAAAAGACTATTCAGAATTGGAGAGACTTTAAAGACTTTTTTAAAAAACTTTTTTTACAATTAAGATTTCATAAGATTGAATTTTAAAGGATTTTAATAGAATTTATAAAATTTGAAAGGACAATGTGAATTTATAATATTTTAAAAAATCATATGAATTATTAAAGAACATTAAAAATTACAAGAGTCAATAAAAAAGTTAACAAAGAAATGCAATGATATTAATAAAAAAAAGTAAAACGTAATATAATTTTCTTAGTAAGATTCATGATAAATTTTCGTTTGGAATTTTTTTGTAATTGATCTTGTAAACCTTGGGGTTTTTGTTCTACTTGATGAAAGTTTTCTAACAATATATCATATGCATGTTTTCATTAAGTATTTCAAGAAATTTTCGAATCTTAATTTATGGGTTTTATTATATGAAAGTTTAGAAAATTTCTCAAATTATTTTCAATCAATACATTGAAATCTTAAATTGCTTTAGGTGTTTTGAAAAACAAATTTTTAGTGATCTATTGACACAAAAATTGTTTGAAATCGTTTCTTATAGCGAATGAATTTCGTTCATGAATATATTATTATGAAACATAGAATTCATATTATGAAATTTCAATCTTTTTTTAAATCGATCTTGTTTCATTGATGTAAAATGAAAATTGGTTTGAGGGATTTTTGTTCCCATGTTGTTTCTCCACTATTTTATGGTGTTTTTAATACAAAAATCACACATTTTTGTGCCAAGAAAAATCATGACTAATATCTTGAAAAATTATTTTTAAACTTTCAAAAATTCTCAAAAATTGCTTCAAAATCTACTGGTTTTGAGATGAATTAAATTAAAATCTTGTTGGGTTGTTGTTTTTGAGTTATTTTGTGATAAAAATCGCTCAAAAATATGTTGTTTTTGAGCTTTGACGAAGCTTCTATGGCAGAATTCGGTTTCGGGCGGGCTGATCCACCAAAAAAAGAAGAATACACTACAATAGAGAAATACCAATAAATCCGAGAGATTAGGATGAGATTGTGAAAGAGACATCTTATTTATATTTCTCACCACACCAATAGAAAATCCATCAAAATCGTAAGATCTTTGAATACCACAAGATTGTTTTTCTTTTGTTTAAAATTCTGATTGAATATCAACGAATTTAGACGGACTCTAAAATAATCTTTTAAAATCCTAATCCAATAGATATCATTTTTTTCCATCCTTTACCATCTTAATTAAATACCAATAAATTTTTTTTATCCAAAAATAATCCATTAAATTTTTTTTAAATTCCAATCTAATACGTCCCTTGATTTTTATTGTACTTCACTTGAAACGGTGATTCTTTGAGACCTCAGAACCTTCCTACCCCCTTCACCTGAGGAAGTGAGGGAAAATTTCGATTTTCTTTCCGTTTTTCTCATTTCTTTCTGACTATAAATACAGAATTTATATCCTAATTTTTTTTTATTTCCCTATAATCAAATCAGTGTCTCCTATTGAGAATCCTCTTTCCACCTACCACCTTGCCTATTGTCTTGATTCAAAGAACTCGTTTCCCAGTTTAACGGATTCTAGGGCAACTTTCTCGTCAAAATCCCTCTCATTCAGATTAAACAGCGCTTTTTTTTGTTGTCTGTGGAAAATTAGGGCGTGAATTGGCCAAAGCTCACGTAGAAATTAAACAAACATGTTCTTCAGCGGTGATCCATCTAGTCGTAAACGTGTTGATTTAGGTGGTCGCAGCTCGAAGGAAAGGGACCGGAAGAATCTGCTAGAGCAGACGCGACTGGAGCGGAATCGGCGATTGTGGTTGCGCCAGCAGAACTCTGCTGCACTCAGGATTCAGGTTTTCCTGCATTCTGAATGCATTTAGTTCAATTGGTTGTGCATCATTATAGAACATCTCAAATTTCTCCCGCGTTTGGTGGCTAGTGAAAATTGATGCATTTTTCACCTAGTAGTGTGCTGTTAAGTGTAACTCCTAGAGGATCTACTTTGCAAATAATTGACCTCCGGGTTTCTTTTCCAATGTATTTTGCATCTATGATTGTGGTTTTTAGTGCCCTGATAGTGTGAAATAGCTGTTGTGTTAAGCTGGCTTTGGCCATTTAAATTGCTATTTTGAAGTCTTAGGTTTCCTGTGTTTTCTTCCATTAAGTGTTCCAGAACTAGAGCCTTCCTTTCCTGGGGTTGATTTTGAAATGTAATGATTAGGTATTCTGGCTCACAGCCTATGTAGGCAGACTCATAGAATCATTATAATTAGGAAGCAAATAAATAGGAAGTTGAGCTGTTGTGAGAAGTCATACCAAGCTATCAGGGTGGATGAATTATTATTACTATTATTTTGATAAAAGAAGAAGATTAATATTATGAAGAAAGTAGATCAAATACATCTAGAGGAGGAGGATAGGGCATCCTCCTAGAACAAAAATTAAAAAAAGAAAGAAAGAGGAAATCTAAAATGGCTAGAAAATGCAACCAAGTTGTTGCTCAAGGAGAGTCCGTTGGCATGGTCTATCATCTTCACAAATCATTATATGGACTAAAATAATCTTCTTGGGCTTGCTTTGGCCAATTTTGGCATTGTAGTTCAGCAGTTCGATTGGACACAAAGTGACACTAACCACTCTGTCTTTTATTGCTATTCAGCTTAAGGATGTATTTATTTGATTTTATATGTCAACGACATTGTTATCACTAGCAATGATCGTATTGACATCATTTATATAAATCTTGGTCATGACTTTCAAACCAAAGACCTTGACAAATCTTGATACTTCTTGAGAATAGAATAATAGATGTGGCACAATCTAAGGATGGTATCGTAATTTCATAGAAGAAATATGCGATGGACATTATGGGAAAACTTGGAGATGAACAGCCTAGGGCAAGACATTTATAGCCTTTATCATGGGAAAATGACCAAGAAAAACACATTCTCGAGATATGTAGGCTAGTTTATGTTGGTTGTAGGGCCTAAGAAATGGATAACCGTCACAACCAAACATTTTGTGAAACTTGTAATCTATAGGTCTAAGGAATAACTTAGTGAAAGACACCTCATTTTGTAAAAGTGTAGGAAGTCTTTTGATCAAGTAGATGACAAATATGAAAGCATGGTCCTAGAATTTAAAAGGCACAGAGGCACGAGCTAGTAGAGTGAGCCCTATCTCCACTATGTGCCTGCTCTTGCACTCAACTATATCATTCTGGTGTTGAGTGTGAGGACAAATCAATCTATGATTAATACCTTGGTCAAATAGGAACTTGGAAAATGTTCTAAATTCCCCACCCTAGACTGTCTGAGTAGACTTTTTTTAAAATTGAACCTCAATTATAGTCTTGAATTGCTAAAGTAACAATGAGAGTTTCTGAGGGTAGATTCAAGTGTAACAAGAATGGGCTTCAATAAATGTAACATGATAAGAATATGTAAGGAACCAATTTAACCCAAAAGCTTAAGCTGTTGGGTGAGAGACTTTTTAGTGGTTTATATTATTCTCTAACACACCCCTTCATGCAAGAGCCCTTTGGGCTTGAAGCATGGATATTGCACAGGCCCAATTTTTGGTTTTACCTTGTGCATATTTAATCTCACAAGTGGGGGGCGGTGAGGATCGAACTCGTGACCTCGTTGTCACTAAAGCTCTGATACCATTTATAGAATAAATTCAACCCAAAAGCTTGAGCTGTTGGGTGAGAGACTTTTTAATGGTTTATATTATTCTCTAACAGCCACCGACCCCAATTAATTTGGGATAAAGGTGTTGTTGATGTTGATGTTGATATTATTCTCTAACAGAATAGTCTATGTTCTGGGGTAGGTCCCCACTAGTGTTTGAAAGTCAAATAAAGTGGGTCAGAGTAAATAGTAGTAGAGGGTGTGGAAGGCAAGCATTGGGTTTCCTAAATAGCAAGCAACACATAAATCAATCACATTTTTATTATGGAATTCCACGTGTATAGTGAGCAAAGCAGGTGTTTGCAGTATTGAATTTGAACCAGAGGAAAAACCGAAGAATGATTTTGCGCAAGACCTTGCTACCGTGAAAAGGGGGTTGTGGGAGAGCTATACAAGCGTCGTGCTGCTAGGCGAAGCAGTGGGTCATTAGGATTCGATCCCAAATGACGTTCTAACCATTTGTCAGAGAAAAAAGAACGATTGGCTCTTGGCAGGGAGTTAGAGGCATGTCCAAATGGATGTCTACCAGAGGTGCCAAAGTGATTGTATTGGGCTGTAAATGAAGTTTAATCCATGGGATACAGAGTTGGTAGGTGTTGTGGCTGCATGGGTTGAAAACATGGCATGGAAAGAAGCCTGGAGATGCCAAGGGGAAAATCGGGAAATGTAGCCCTAACTAGGTGAAGGTACAAATGGAGAAAGGCTGAGAGTTTGAGATTGATTCTAATAAGTAAAATGTAGCCCCAGCAGAGGTGCCAAAGTGATTGTATTGGGCTGTAAATGAAGGTTAATCCATGGGATACCAAGTTGGTAGGTGTTGTGGCTGCATGGGTTGAAAACATGGCATGGAAAGAAGCCTGGAGATGCCAAGGGGAAAATCGGGAAATGTAGTCCTAACTAGGTGAAGGTACAAATGGAGAAAGGCTGAGAGTTTGAGATTGATTCTAATAAGGAGGTTGGTTGTTTGAAATTGTGACCAAACCAATGCCTCATGGCCATACTTGTGGCAAAATTGATAGGCCATAGTGCTGTGATAACTGAGCATCCTTCTTTGCGTAGCTCAGATCGAAGTTGACAAACTTTTGCATGGATATTAGAGTTGAAGAAATAATGAATTTCCCAAACTTTCCAGGAATTGATACAACCAACGACTCTAATAAGTAGAGATTTGAAAAGTGACGATAACAACTAGGAGAAAAGCATTCAGTACAGTTGCTCCCATTGAAGATAAGCTTCACTTACACCCCCAATTTTTGGATCCTCCTCGATTGAAAACTGCAATGGAATTTTTGGATTCATGATGAAATGAAGCAATGATGAGCCTTGATAATAGCTTCGATTTTCTGTTTCTAGATAAGAAAATTCTTTTCATCAAGGCACACTAAGATTGGGTATGATAAAGTAACAGGAGTAAAGTGTAGAATCTCATGTGAATTGTAAGTCTAGAATGAGTTGAGAGGGGATGCCGTTGCTTAGGATCGAAAAGAAGCTCTTGTGATAAAAATCAAGAACTAACGAGAAAGTGATAGAAAGCGAGAGAAAATGAGAGGGAGCCTTGATAATAGCTTCGACTTGTTTCTAGATAAGAAAATTCTTCTCACCAAGATGCATTAAGATTTTGTATGAGAAAGTAACAAGAGTAAAGTGTGGAGTCGTAGGTGAATTGCAAGTCTGAAATCGGTTGAGAAGGGAAGTCATTGATAAGGATCGAAGAGAAGATTTTGTGATAGAATCAAGAACTAGCGGAAAGTGATAGAAAGCAAAAGAAAATGATAGAGAGCTTAGAGAGAATTTTTACTAAAATTGTTATATGAAAACTGAATGAACTTGTCAAGTTCTGTTACATTTATAGTAAGGAATCAAACTCAGATTCCTACCCAATCGAACTGCTTGATAGCTCGGACAATTGGCTGACAGTTAAACTGACAACTAGGCATAACCAAATTACTAAGCATGTGAGTATTAGTCTAACAATGTCATAGCCACTTTGGCACTAAAGCAATGGTTTTGGACATCAAACTTTCCCTATGCAATCACCTTTGACCTTTGGCTTACACTAATCAAATTAATGAGGTTGTTAACCTTTGGCATCAAAATCGTGCTTCTTCTTGATTTCAAAGGTTAGTGTCTTCTTCCTATCTCCTCATCTAGAATATTCAACACTTTTTTCATTATTCCTTTGAATCTTGACATGTTGGTTTTCTCTAGAGGTCTTAAGATGTACTCCCATGGTTTTCACTCCCACAAAGGTTTGGTAAAAAAAGTACCTCCTAGATCGGAAGTGCTCTGATACCAATTTGATGGAACTGATATTTTTACTAATGAAAAAACAATGGAGACTAGCTCCTTACAGCAACACAGAGACAACGAATTGAAATGCAGAAACAAATTACAGAAAGAAATAAGAAACAAAATTGTAAAAAATAAATAACCCAGAGGTCCAGAACCTCTATTCCCCTTTTCTAATCATTTAGTTTAATTCATACCTCCAACGCTTCCTATTCTTCGCTCTTATATTCTCTTTTTTTCTTAACTGAATTCCCATCTCATGTTATTCCTTGCCAGCTCAGCATTTCAGTTATGCTCCAGATTTAACGACTTGAATGGGTCTATCAGTATCATTTGCCATACATGAGCAAATATAGGAGTGTGATTTCTTATTTTTCTGCTTATAGCAAATATTGTACTAATGATCTCCCAAGGAGGATGCTCCCCACGACCTCTCCATGATCATGTTAGTATCAATGTTTTTGCTCTTTTGGGGACACCATCATCACTATCATTATTTTTGGGGGAATAATTTAAAGTTGTTTCACGGTGACAATTTAATTGCATATAAACCGACTGATTCCATTAATTGTACATTGCTATGAAGCACCGACACTTCAAAAATTCTGACGTGTCGTGTCTGACACTCTCCGACACTCCCCGACACTTCAACACGCGTTATAGAAATTCAAAAAAAGGTTCAAAGGTTGCGTTGCGTTGAGTTTTCAGTTCCAACTATTAGATTCATCGGATTACGATTACCATTTTATTGAGTTTAATATAAATATTTGGGATATTTTATGTTTCTTTGCAAAATTGAGAATATTATAAGTTTAGTTTCATTTTTTTGTTAAATTATTGAATATTAAATGTAATATACACGACATAAATTAAAATTTTTATTTAATATCAAAACGTGTCTTAACGTGTCGAAATCTAACATTTTTTAGAATTAACGTGTCGGAGTGTCGTGTCGTATCGTGTCACGTGTCCCATGTCAGTATTGGTGCTACGTAGGTACATTGTATATGTAATGATTTCAACATAAAAGATTTTGTTTCTACTAATTTATTATCAAGCTATTTATCCTTTTTTCACCTCTATAATCAAATTTTAGAAGGGGAGCCTTGGCACAATTGTTGGTGTTGTCTCCATATAATCTAGAGGTCACAAATTTGATTCATGTAACCAGCCTCTTGCCTACGGTAGACCCTTCCTTGGACTCTGCATAGTGCGGGGGCTTTATAACACCAGGTTGATCTTGTAATCAAATTTTAGAATTAAATTGAGCTTGTGAGTTATGGTAACATATGTTGAATGATGCCATGCATTTTGCAATAAGAATAAATAAATCGATATTATTAACCAAAAATAAATATATCGATGTGTGCTATCTACAATACATTGTTTATTTTAATTTTTTGAATTTGGTACGTGCTCCTTATTTGTACGGTTTGATAATATTTGTGTTCTGAATTTGTAAATAACTTTTATGTGACATTAAGATTTCACATTTTCTAATTTAGAGTTTAGCCACCTTGATTCTGGTTTGATACGGTGCTTCTATAAAATGTATGCCTATTACTGGGAAGCAGTGTTGTAAAAACGTAGTGTCGAAACGTACCGTTTCTACGTTTTTATGACAAAAAAACTTGTCGAAACGGTAGTTGAAACGGATTCTGGGTCGAAATGGTTGAAACGCCGTGTCAACTCGGTTGACTCGGCGAGTTTACCAAGTTGACTCAGTTTTTTTCAAAAAAAAAAAAAAAAGTGGATGCAAAAGGGAAGAGCAGAATACACAGTTAGTTACTACAATCAGCAACAACCAGCAAAAAATTAATTTATTTTATACACGTGATCCTTTTTTCTTTTTCTTTTCTACACACGTTTTTCATTTTATAAATAATTAATTTAATTTTATAAAACAGTCAATTAAAATTTAAAATAGAAAAAAATATGTATACTTACGTACTTTAAAAAATGATAAATTATTAATTAAATTTAAAAAATAATTAATATTCTGGGCTTTTACAGTGGATCCAAGACGTGGCCCGTGCACGATTAATTAAGAGGGTTTAACTAAATTTTTGAGTAAATGAGACTGGGTCCTAGGACACACACATTAGTTAGTAGAGTGGGGTGTTTTGGTTTTCTATATGTTAGATATGTATTGTTTTGTAAGTAGTAAACTCTTACGTTTCGTTTACGTTTTGTGATTTTATGTTTTTACTTACCCCTACCGTTTCTACGTAGACTCTACGTTTTAACAACATTGTTGGGAAGGTACATTTATGATGAGTTGTAATCTACATTTCATAAGTGCTTTTTAAGTTGTTGACTGATTCTTGCTACAGAAATGCTTCAGAGGGAGAAAAGTTGTTCGAACCGAACAGTCTAAGCTGCGAGAGAAATTCCTTAGAATATATGGGAAGAACTGCCAAGATTTAGACAGGTGAAGTTTAAATTTTATCCCTGAAAGCTATTTACTTCCTTTTACTCAAAGTTTCTCCAAAAATTATTGATGTACTTTATTTAGTATGGTCTTACTTGAACATTGCACCATCATAAGTCAAATTAATACCATTTTGTGTGCATTCAGGAATGCTTTTGGTCCAGATTCTGATTTCCTCCGCCAGTTCCTCTATTTCTTTAATGCAGAAAATATTGAAGATTTTTTACTTCTTGTGCAAATTTGCCGATTGCTTCAGCAGTTTGTTCAAGAGAGTGGTAATTTTTAATCAGCATTCCTTTTGCCATGGTTTTTGGTGTTTAGTTTCTACTGTGCCTGGGTTATAAGTTTTATAGCAAGATTTTGCAAATGTGAACGCCTATTTATTTTATATTTAATCTACCCACTCACCAAAAAAAGATTTGTATTAACCAAACAACAAAAACCAAGCCTTATAATCTAGTGGTGCCAACTACATGGATGAATGGACACCATTGGGCACTATCAATAACTGAAATTTCAGTAAAACAATTCAGACCAAGGTTTTTTTTTTTTTTGTTTGTTTTCTCCTAAAAGTTTCTTAAGTTATCCTTGACCCTTTTTAATTGGACTATCTTCCATTTGATCCTGTATTTTCACTGGATCCTCTATTAGTGTTCTTCTCATATGATCTGTGAGTCACAGTCTGTGACTCTATCGCATGTCTTCATTAGCTCTGTTATTCAGTTAGTCATTCTGTTAATTGTTAGCTCAGTCAGATCTCTCGCGGATCTGTTATCTTTTATAGCTACACATGTCTGTAAATACATGTACCTATATTCAGTTTTCAATTAATGAAATATTACAGAAACTTCTTCCTCACTCTCTCTTCGCTCTTCTTTGTTTTCTCTCCTTAAGTTTCTCTCAAGCTTTCACGATCAAATCACCTTAGGTGGGTTTACTTCATCTTCTTTGCAGTAGATGTTACTCTAATCTTATGTTTGACATCATTGTTAGTTGCCCCATCACTTTGTAACATGAACCCAAGATTTCTATCTGTCCACAATTTGCATCTCCAGAATTTTTCTGATTTGCTTTTATTAAACTTTAATTTCATATATTTAGTCTTACTACTAATCTGAAAAGTGAAAACCCCTTGATTCTAAAACTTATCTACAACTCAAGTTTAGAATTCACGTATTCTGTGGACTTATCAACGAAGACTATATCATCTGCAAATAGGCATGCATTGAGGCATTTACTATTGCATGTGTGAAAGTGCATACAATAGGAAGATACAAAGGAGTTGACTTAAAGTCAACCCCTGGTGCTAACCTATTGTTATTGGCAAATCTTTTGTTAACCTCCATGAGTCCACACACTAGTCACCGTCCCATTATATTTGTGCATAACCTTTCATATGTTGAATTAGAATATATACAATACAATCTCCTTTCTCCTCTAGAGCATTCCACAAGATTTCTTGTGACACCTAAATATCTATTTGAAGACTTTTCTATATAGTTAAATGTAAAAGAATACGTTGTGTATTGATCTGTGTCAGAGAATTACAATATATAGAGACCCTAATGGGCTTAAGTGTAAGGCCCAAACCTAATCCAAACCTAATCCTAATACAGTCAGAATACAGTCAGACTATTTACGGATAAGACAGAATCCAATCATATCTAATCAAATCTAATCATATCATATCTAATATTCTAACACTCCCCCTCAAGCTGGTGCGTATATATTATGAGCACTAAGCTTGTTACAAATGTATTCAACCCGAGGACCTCTAAGAGCTTTAGTGAAAACATCTGCTAGTTGATTAGACGAGTTGACAAAAGCTGTCTTGATTTCTCCTGACTGAATCTTTTCCCGAATGAAGTGACAATCAATCTCTATATGTTTGGTCCTCTCATGAAAAACAGGATTAGAGGATATATGTAGCGCAGCTTGATTATCACAGATGAGTGTCATGGGTTGTTTCTGTTCACAAAGATGAAGCTCCTGAATCAACTGCATTAACCAGATCAACTCACAGGTAGTATTTGCCATTGCACGATACTCAGCTTCTGCAGTAGATCGGGAAACAACAAGTTGTTTCTTGCTTTTCCATGAGATTAAGTTTCCTCCGAAGAAGACACAATAACCAGAAGTAGAGCGTCTGTCCGAGGGTGATCCTGCCCAATCGGCATCTGAGTAACCACAAATTTCTGTATTTCCCTGATCCGAATACAACAAACCTTTTCCTGGTGCTCCTTTGATGTATCGGAGGATCCTCACAGCAGCATCCCAATGTGAATCACAAGGGGAATCAAGGAACTGACTGGCCGTACTGACAGCGAAAGAAATATCTGGCCTAGTCACAGTAAGATAATTGAGCTTCCCAATCAGCCTTCGATAACGTCCAGGATCAGATAACGGCTCCCTCTGTCTGGGCAATAACTTAACATTAGGATCCATGGGTGTATCAACTGGTTTACACCCCAACATACCAGTCTCCTCTAGGATATCCAAGGCATACTTCCTTTGACAGATAGAAATGCCCTGTCTAGATTGCGCCACCTCAATTCCCAAGAAGTAACGCAGCTTCCCAAGGTCCTTTGTTTGAAATGTACTGAATAAATGTTGTTTTAACTGATGGATTCCGTCTTGATCACTTCCGGTGAGGATGATGTCATCAACATAGACTAACAAATAGATGCACTTGTTAGGAGATGTAATCCTATAGAATACAGAATGGTCAACTTTACTGCGAATTAGGCCAAACGCCTGTACAGCAGAACTGAAGCGACTGAACCATGCTCGAGGAGACTGCTTGAGACCATATAAGGATTTTCGAAGACGACATACCTTCCCAGACTCCCCCTGAGCAACAAAACCAGGTGGTTGCTCCATGTAAACTTCTTGTAAATCACCATGAAGAAAGACATTTTTGATGTCAAGTTGAAGGATTGGCCAGTGACGAACAGCAGCAAGGGCAAGAAATAGGCGGACGGACGCCATCTTAGCGACTGGAGAGAATGTATCGCTATAATCAAGGCCAAAGATTTGAGTAAAACCTTGGCAACTAGGCGTGCCTTGAGACGATCAACATGGCCATCAGGTCCAACTTTCACAGTAAACACCCAGCGACAACCAACTATAGACTTCTCTGGAGGAGCAGAAACAAGGTCCCAAGTGCCATTGGTATAAAGTGCGGTCATCTCATCAAGCATTGCTTGGCGCCATCCTGGATGGGAAAGTACCTGTGGTCTTAGGAATAGAAACAGAAGAAAGACTAGAAACAAAGGTGAAATGAGGAGGAGAAAGGCGATCATAGCTCAAGAAGGTATAAAGAGGATAAGGGTTACGAGTAGTACGTGTACCTTTTCTTTGAGCAATGGGAAGAGCCTCTGGTGAAGGATCCGGAGGGGAAGAATCAACTGCAGAGGGCAATGAGTCAGCATGGGTCGAGTCGACTGGAGGTACTGTCTTACGACGCTGATAAGTGAGAAGTGGACGGTCCTTAGGTACTGGAGCAATAGGTGATTGCTTATCTGGAGTAGAAGCACCTGCATCTGGCAAAGACAAGTCAAGAAAAGGAACAGGAAGAACATGATCAACCTGTGACAATGGAGATGGGATAGAATTAAAGGGTTGTTGATCAAAAAAGGTGACATTCGCAGAAACTAAGTAACGCTTGAGGTCAGGAGAGTAACAGCGATAACCCTTTTGAAGACGAGAATAACCAAGAAAAATGCATTTAAAGGCTTTGGATGTTAACTTATCCTTACCAGGAGTGAGATCATGAACAAAACAGGTACAACCAAAAACATGTGGGGATAGAGGAAAGAGAGGAACATCTGGAAACAATAAGTTATGAGGAATATCATTATTAAGCACAGATGAAGGCATGCGGTTGATGAGAAAGCAAGAAGCAAGGACTGCATCAGCCCAGAAGTGAAGAGGAACATGCATGTGAATAAGAGTCCTGGCAATCTCAATGAGATGTCTATTCTTACGTTCAGCTACTCCATTTTGTTGTGGAGTGTGAGGACAAGTGGTTTGGTGTAAAGTACCCTGTGTGGCTAAGAAGTGAGAAAAGTCAACAGAAACATACTCCTTAGCATTATCACTACGTAAAATACGAATAGAAGCACCAAATTGAGTATGAATTTCAGCAGAAAACTTTTGATAAATAGAAAACAACTCAGAACGGTTTTTCATTAAATAAATCCAAGTACAACGGGAGAAATCATCAATAAAGGTGACAAAATACCGAAAACCTAAAATAGACATACTACGACTAGGACCCCAAACATCTGAATGAATAATTGAAAAAGGAGCATCAGCTCGTTTATTGACTCGATTAGCAAAGGAGGAGCGTATGTGCTTTCCTTGCTGACATGACTGACAATCTAAAGTTTGAAGACCGGATAAAAGAGGAACCATCTTCTGCAATTTCGCAAGACTAGGATGCCCGAGACGACTGTGGATGAGCTGTGGAGATTCTGTGAGAGAACAAGCAACTGAAGGACTCGGCACATCAAGGTAGAACAGACCCCGTGACTCACGGCCCACTCCAATCCGTACCCGGGTCCTGCACAGAAACAGAATGGTTTGAGAATGTGACAATATAATTAAGAGAATTGATCAATTTACTAACCGATATTAAATTATAAGGGATGTGAGGAATGTAATAGACAAATGTCAAGGTCAATGAGGAGGTTGGACAGATTTGTCCAATCCCATGAACCCGACCTTAGTTCCATCAGCAAGAGTAAAAGAGGGTAAATTATTAGAATATGTAAGGGAAGAAAAGAGTTCCTTATTACCACAGAGGTGATCAGTAGCACCTGAGTCAAATATCCAAGGACCAAGTGATGCAGAATGAGAAACACAAGCAACAAGATTACCAGTTTCTGAAGCAGAGGCCTGAGATTGAGGAGAGGACTTCCTGAGAAGGGCCTGGAATGCTGCATATTCTTCAGAGGAGAGAGAGACTGAACCATTTGAAGCAGTATCCGATTGAGCTACATTAGCAGCAAAAGAAGGTCGCATGTGAGGATACTTGGTGTAGCAGCGTTCCTCATAATGACCAAGTTGCTGACAGTAATGACAACGAGGTCGCTGACCACGTCCGACTGGACCTCCTGGGCCTCCTGGGCTACGTCCTCCTGGGCCTCTACCACGACCACGTCCACCTCCAATATGCCCGCGAAAATCAGTACGGGAAACTAGAGCAGTAGAATCAACAGCAGAAGACGATGCAGGAGCAGATTTCTTATTCAAATTCAGAAGACGCTGATACGTCATGGATAGATCAGGCTCCCCACTAGTCAAGATAGTATCACGAACATTATCATATTCTTCGGGAAGGCCAGAAAGTGTGGCAACCATAAAGAGACGTTCCACCTGTTTCCGATATGCAGTAGCATCAGTAGGGTAAGGCAGCATATCCAAATATGCCTGCATCAAAGAGCGACTCTTGCCAATATATGTCTCCATCTGAATGTCGGATGATTTGCTCAATTCCATAAACTGAGAGATGATGAAATAGAGCTGCTGAACATCATTAGTGTAGAGGTTTTTTGCTTCCTCCCACACTTCAGTGCAAGTTTGAAATGAATAAAAGATATCCAAGACAGGATACTTAGAAGCTGGTTGTCAATCTTTTCCCAATCAGACTTGTCCTCCTTAGGGACATCAGTAGACTTAGTTGTGAGATGGTTCCCATATCCTTGTCCAAAGAACCAAACTCGAACAGAGGTGGCCCAGTTCTTGTAATTAACAGATCCCTTCAATTTTGAAGAGGTAATGGACCCAATATTGGTAGAGATGATATTGGGAGAATTTCTCAAAGGAGGAGATGGAGACTTGACCTCCGAATGAATTGGAGGGTTTGCTGCCATAGTATCAAATCACAAAGATACAAACCGAATAAAGAGAAACGAACCTGATCACCAATCAAGAAGAGGTGCGCACAAAAAGTCAGACCCACAAAGAACCAACCACAGATCCAGAAAGAGGAGGAGAAGACGAGCTTCTCTGTCCAAGACCGGCCGGAAAAAGCCGCCGGAATAGTGCTCACGCGCCGGCAGAAGGTGGCGCGTGAAGCCCACGCGCAGAGAAGACTGGAGGCGCGTGAGAGCGCGTGACAACTCCGATGGTGGCCGGACTTCCACAGAGCAGGTCGCCGGGAGGAGAGGGTTTTGTTCGCGTTCGTTCCAGACTGAAAACTCGCCGGAAAAGTACTCCGGCAGCCTGAACAGTGGCTGATGGTGCTCCGGTGACTGTTTGGGGATGTGGACACGTGCAGAAGATGCCTGGAGAGGACTTACAACCTTTGATGTCTTACCGGAAGGACGCACGGCAAAGAAAAGATGACTCCTAAGCAGTGGGCTTAGGTTTTAAAGCGAAGAACAAGATTTCTAAGCGGAAGCGAGGGTTCCCAGAACGAAATAGCTCTGATACCAAGTTAAATGTAAAAGAATACGTTGTGTATTGATCTGTGTTAGGGAGTTACAATATATAGAGACCCTAATGGGCTTAAGTGTAAGGCCCAAACCTAATCCAAACCTAATCCTAATACAGTCAGAATACAGTCAGACTATTTACGGATAAGACAGAATCCAATCATATCTAATCAAATCTAATCATATCATATCTAATATTCTAACATATATCAATAAAGACCATATGTAGGTCTTTTTTTTTTTTTTTTACTTACGTATCTTTCCATCACTCTAGTTTCATAGTTGGGCTCATGAGCTTGATTGGGTTTTTTAATTTCTACAACTCCTCCTCTGTAGCATGGGTGTGCATATAATTCATGTGTACGCATGCCTGATACGGGTATGGCACAGGTACATGTGGGTTCATACCGAGTATGCACCCATTTTTTAATTTCAAAGTTAGGTACAGCTCCGATACTGTTCTGGTATGGCTTGGTGCAACTCCTGTACAGCTTGCCCAAAATTTTCCCGGAAATTTCAATGCCCTAAGTCCCTATTTCCATTTGGCCCCATCTATCTTTTCATTCTACTCAGCCCATCTTCCCATTGCCAATGCAACTCCAGAGTGGCAGCAATTGAGTGGTGCTTCTCCCATTGCCACTGTGGCAGCACCCTACCTACTCCCCAAATCTTTGAAAAATTGCATGCGCCGTATCATAAAAGGAACAACGTGTGATAATTGAATTCACAAAATTGGAATCCTACCACATGTGGCATTTATTATTAGTCATATAAGAATTATTTAGTATCGTGAACTGTGCTTTCCATTCTTGAATAGTAAGGAGATTTTAAATATTGTCATAATTGCTTTTTGCGGAAGATGTTAAAGGATATATTTATTTATGTTCTTTTTTTCATTCTCTTTGTCTGTACTCCTCCTTTTCCTAATAAAGTCTGGTTTTGTATGGAAAAATGTGGGTATATTTGACACAGCATAGTGGGGAGAATACGATTGAGGACTTACTCCCAGTTTTTTTTTTCCCCATGTTTTTTGTAAGCCTTATGATGGTTGTTTGACTAATGATGTATTTAGATGTCCGATTATCATCTCCGAAGGACAGAGACATAAATACACAATTCTTTATTTTTTTCTGCATGCTACTTATGCTAATATTTTGATCTCTGGTGCTTGCATCCTTGCTGTTTCTGCAAGTTTTACTTTTTTGCATGAAACTTAATTTGTAGAATTAAAATATATGCAACAGGGGATGTGGTGAGACTTTTTTCTGGGGTGGATTACTCATCTGCGCGTGCTTTGGTAAACTACCGAGTGAAGCAATTTGTATATACTTGTATTCGTGCCGTACATCGGAATAGGTTGGTTTCATGGCCTTGTTTTAAATTTATTATTTTCTTGGCCTTTGGCTTTTCTTAATTTTCTAGTGAGCTGCTACTTTTCTCTTTTATTTATTATTTTGTGTTGGATACTAAGTTGAATGCCACTTTTAGATGATGTTAAATGTGCTTCCGAGTCATACAAATCATTTGAATTGATTTCGATTGTAATTTGTTTTGTGTCATTTCTAATATAATAAATACATGTTCAGTGAAAAAAGTTGTATGTCTTAAAATGTTATTTTTTTTGGACTGGACTTGTATGTCTAATTTTTGTTGCTTATTTCTTCAATTATGTAGCCGTCAGAAGTCATGTTTAGTAGTGAGTATAAAGTAAAGACCGGAAGATCATGTCAAAACTTGGTGCTATTTTCTTTTATATTGTTAATTTGTTTGGAGACATAAAACCAATCTTGTGCCTTTACCTAACAATTTAAGCTTTTGGGAGAGTGTGTTTTTAAAATGGTAAGAAAACCTCTATGATCAAATGGTTAGGAGTTTGATCCTTGTTGTCCCATTGTTCATAATTAAGTTGAATTTCAAGAACAAATGCACAAGTTTGAGTGGGATTGTGCATTGTCCTCCTTTCAAGCCCAAAGGGATCATGTGTGTTAAAGATATAAAACCAATTTTTCTTCTAACAGTTTAAACTTTTATAAGAGTTGGTTTGGTTAGAGAGAAAAAAGGTGGGTGTTTGATTGGGTAGTGTGTTTTTTGGGAGAGTTAAAATGTAAATGGCTACTGTTGTTTTTCAGTTGATAAAAGAAATTTGATTGGAGAAAGAAGAAAGAAAAAACAGGGGTGGGGCCCACAAAAAAAAAGAACAGTAAACCTAAGGGAAAACAGGTAAAAAAATGCAGCAACGCTGCTCAGCTTGGCATGTCAGAAATTGAAACTTCCTTAAAGCTATCATCCATAGAGTTTTTGGGAGAGTTTAAAATGTAAATGGCTACTGTTGTTTTTCAGTTGATAAAAGAAGGAGTTTGATTGGAGAGAGAAGAAAGAAAAAACAGTGGTGGGGGAAGGATAATCCCTGTGCAAAAAATTTAAAAATAAATGAATAGAATAACTATAGGAGAACAGACAGTTACAGAGGTAAAAAAAAGTGCAGCAATGCTGCTCAGCTTGGCATATCAGAAATTGAAACTTCCTTAAAGCATTCATGACCTTATCACATCATAGAGAATCTATAAATACAATCCTACCCCATTACATATGTAAGGGCATAGGTACTCCCTTGAAGCAGACATTCTGGTATGCTGCACACTGCCACTAGATTTTTTATCCCCTTATTCTTTTTATTTATTTACTTATAAAAGAAGAACAATTTTATTAGGAATGTCATGAGCTAACAATTCCAAAAGCTTAAGTTGTTGGCTAAAAGCACATGGATGATTTTATATTTAATACGTCTTTTTATGCAAGAGCACTTTGATCTTGAAGCGTAGACAATGCACTAGTCACCCTATCTTATATTGAAATTTAACTTTTATTTAGAAAAATAGGGCAACAAGAATTGAACTACTCTACATCATATGGTCATAAAGGCTTTGATACCATGTCATAAACCAACTATTTTTAAAACTTTAGTTGTTGGGTGAGAGCACAAAAATTGTTTTATATCTAGTAAGGAGGAAAGAGATAAAAAGTTTATGTTGGGGAAGCATAAAATCTTTTTAAAAGAAAAACTATATAAAAAAGCAAGCCAAAAAACTTCAACAAGGCTGTCACTAGTAGAAAATTGCTTGATCCAACCTTGACTAGAGCAACAAAAAGAAGCCAAAAACACAATGCTATTCTCTAACAGAAGTTGGGCAAAGGGGGAGGGGGCATTTCTCTCCTACTAGATGCATCATGCACCACAAAATTGAAAAAGTAGCATGCTGCCATTAAATCACAGCATCCTTATTCTTGCTAAAATCTTTAATATGTAAGAAATTGGTCCTTGGTGAAACGTCACAGCTAGGGTTCACTAGACCTGCACATAACACACAAGAGAAGTAGCAAGAGCTGCATTAGATCTATGAATCTGTAACATGTCATTTTTATTAATCCTATTCATTACTGCTGTTCGAATGAAAGACTTGAGCTTTGAGGAAGTTTTGGACTAGGAAACAGGTTTGTCAAGGTGGAATCTATAAACATTATGAGATTGAGTTGGAAACTTAAAATAGGACCTAGTTCATTAGTTTCTCTATCACTGAAGTTTCTAGTCAAGTGAAAGTTTCAAGAATTTATAAGGTTTACAACGCTAGTTCTCTGTAACTTGAACTTTTCATATAACATTTTCTATTTCATAATTCATACATTCTATTACAATCGTCATCTCCTGTTTTCATCATGCTTCTCTTTTGCATAATTAATTTCTTATTAATAAATAAAATATGCATGTTTGGTAAAGCTTAATTTTTAGGGAAAAATCACTTTTTTTTAAATGCTATCTCAATAAGATTTTAATTATATATTTTTAGTACAAAATGAGCTAATCCAAAAACACAATAAGAACCGTTATTTAAGCATGCCTGAGCTATGATGGATAATTGATTAGAGTGGGGCTCTACTGTGGGTTTCGCTTGTTCCACTTCTTCTTCTGAAATAATGATAAACATGGAATTAAAAAATGTGACATGTACATGATGGTCATAGGGGCAATAGTGCCTCCCCTCTCCTGTGCTTAATTGTTGGGTGATTTGTATGTATTTCATGACCAAACCTGGAAGCTTGTAATTGTCATAGACTTTTTAAAAGGATTTCTTCTTACCTTGGATTTTAATGTTGATACTTGATGTATTATTTATTTTGAAGAATACTTTTTAAATCTTCAGTTCTTTCTTTTGTACATAAAATCTTTGTATTTCTACTTCTAGCTTTTTTGGGTTTTTGTGCTATGTTGCTTATAGAGTATTTTACTGGACAGAAATCAGCTGAAGGATCAGCTGTTATTGACTCCGAAGGAATCTAATGTATCAGCTATTCCTTTATTAGAAGTTTTAGTATTGTTGATAGATCCCAAACTGCCATGGAGCTGTACGATAGTAGGACATCTCTTTCAAAACAATGCACTCAGCCTACTTAGAGAGATTATTCTTACAGGAAAGGTAGCATCGCAATCCATTTTTTTCTTTGTTTTTTATTTCTTGGTACCCTATAAGATTAATTCCCATGTAATGCATATTCAAGGGCAATTTACAAGATAGGATATCTTATGTCATGAACCAATTCTCCCAAAAGCTTATTAGGTGACAACACAAATGATTTTATATTATATCTCCAACATGTACCCTCATGTAAGTTTGGACTTAAAGCATGAATAATGTATAGCCCACCTATTTTATGTTGAAACAATTTTTTAATAGATGAATGGAAGCGACAATGATTGAACTTTAGATCACTTGGTCATAGAGGCTTTGATTCCACGTCAAGAACCAACTCTCCCAAAAGTTTAAGCTGTTAGAGTGTAAGCTAGACTATGATCTAACAGATCTGAACTGAAATATAACGGAATATAACAGACTCAGTTGGAGGCAGTTATAACTTCTATGACAGCTGTTACAAGGTTGTTAGGATTTGTTTGTGAACAGTCTTAGCTAATCCCTGAATAAACATAGGCCAGCCTAGATCTAGCTGAGCTAAAGCTCAGCGCACAGTGTGTAACACTCTGTTACCCTTTTATGTGTAATAATTTCTTTAATTAAGAAATACTGGGTCAGTTTGCAATAAAGGTGATGCTGATGTTGAAGAAATACTGGATCAGTGGATCAAAATCAAATATAAAGTTAAAACTTATCGTCTATACATGTCATATTGATCTGACTGTCTCTAGTTTTGTTATTTCTTATGATATTCGTTTGATCTGTTATACCATGATTCACATAAATGCATAAACTTTTTTAATGATCTACTGCAGGATAATGCAGAAAATTGTATTTACAGTGAAAAAGGGTCATCATTGGAGCGAGTGCTTACTGTTATAATATGTCACATTGGTCAGAAGCCATGCATCTGTTCACATATAGATCCAAGATATAGCTTCTCATCACAGATCCTTACAATTCCTTTCTTGTGGCATGTTTTCCCAAACTTAAGACAGGTACTAATTCTATTTGATGGAGGTCCTTTTCTTTGTGATAAGTAGAAGTTAAAGAGAGGTATTAATCATCAATGATGTGTATCTGTTTTCTAAATATTAAGTACGGCCTAAAATCAGGAAAGATGGTATACAGTTCATAGGATCTAGAAAATTAACATAGAAACCTTGGATGATGAAATTCATTAGAAACCTCAGAAAGAAAGCATTCAGGTACCGCCACAACAATTTTACTTGGGGAATTTAAAGCTCCTTTGGAATTCCTTCTATTCTTCTCTGTTGAAAAACACAAAATTAGATAATTTAATGCTTACAACCATACCTTGTAATCTCTCTTTGCACCAATGGAGGGCACTTCAATGTGCAATCAGCGGATATATAACCCAGTAAATCCCACCTGGAGGAAAAAGTCAATATCCAATGCATAAACATAAGCAACTGGGCTATGTGAAAAAAATTATTTATGTTATTATGTGCTTAGGGACCTCTGCATGTTAATTAGAATCTTGGGGGTTGGAGGGTAACTCGAGCTGGTTAAGAGTGAGTTATTATTTTTTTTTCCTTTTATTGCTTGTCCCCTATAATTATTATGTCTTCTTGATATGTCCAGCCTTCACGCTGGAGTTTCCTTTGTGTGCTTGCTAATTTTCTAGAACTATTTGTTTTCTATTAACGTTGGCAAGTCTTGTGAAAAGTTGGTTTGTTTTTGGGTACTTAGGTTTTTGCAAAACAAAGCGTGAGCCAACATTACATTCATGAAATGACAACATTTGTGCCAAACCTGATCAGTTTTCTGCCTAAGGATATATCAGATGAATTTCCTACCTATGCCTGTCTTCTTGGAAATATATTAGAAACTGGTGGAATTGCTTTGTCTCAACCCGACTGTTCATTTGATATGGTAAGGGGATATTCACTATAATATGCTTTTTGTTATGGTCATTCTGAGTTGCTTCATACATCTCATTTCATGATGACTTATCTAGGACTAGGTCAAGATTGGTGTCTTGATGGATATACATTTTTTTTTTTTGATAAAAGAAATATATTAACAGAAGGAGAAGATTACAGAGAGATTGGAGGATAAGAAATCATCCTAAAAATAGAAAATTCAAATAGAGGAGATAAAAAAAAATCAACAAAGCAAAGCTACCCAATCGAAGGGAAATTTCTCTGAAAAAATCATTAGCTTTATGCCAAGTCGTAGCCAAATGCCATATCCTATCACAAATTAACTGCTCACTCAGACAACTCTCCATAGCCAAACACTTTGATGCATATACATTTCACGCAGTTAGAGTTTGGTATATACTTTTACTAAAGAGGAGCTGATTATTTCATCTTGAATTTACTTTAATATTTATTTAGATAAGAAGGTGGTTTTATTAAGGGAGAGAGAAATAGATTTACAAGGGAGAGGATGACATTCTTCTATAAAACATGATACAAGAGAGAGTTGAACTTCTTTTCAGAAATCTCATTCATTAATGCACCTGTCGTTTGCTATTGATGTCTACATTTTTACATTTGGCATTGATGTCCATTTGAGATATAACCAAGCTTTGTTCTATTGGATAGGCATGTAATGAAGTTGAATCAAATTGGACACTCTTGTATTTGAATTTGATTAGATTAAATTTCTTGAATGTGGAATTAAAATTTAGTTTCTGAATAATACCATATGAACTTTGATTTGATTGACTATATCAAATATGTGAATTTTTTTCTTTATCTGTAAAGTCCATTGAGTTTGTTGAAATTATACGGATTTAGATATAGAGGGAGGAAAACAATTCTTAGAATAGAATTTTTAAAATTATATTGATATTGTTGTGAAGGATGTGATACAAAATATAAACTAATCATAGTAGTTAAAAGCGGATTGCGGCCTGTTGCGGCCAACCCTGAAAAACACTATAGCGCTATGGACTAATAGAACCTAGATATACCACACATATATATTTTAAAAAATAAAAACAATCAATGATAATAAAGAATTGCTCCAAAACAAACAGAAATTCCAAGTATTCAATTAAAAGATCCAAAACACATTTCCATATTTAAATGTCAAAAAGAACTAATCAGAATCTTAAATTCCACCATCACCAAAGTCTGCTTCAGCCTCACTGTCACTGGTATCTATATTGTACAGTTTTTCTGGCACATCTTTTTTTCTTTTTGTAATAAAGAAGGGGCAAGGCCCCAGAACAAAACAAAACAAAGAACTCACAGCTAAAGAAAGTCTATTGGACATCCTGTTGCAGAAGATCCGCAAGCTGTGGTGGGGGACTATAGAAAACATTAAAGTTGCTAAGCTTGTCATGAGGATGAGAAGCAAGCCAGTGAGCACAACTATTGTTCTCTCTATTTGTATGAGAACACCTCACAATCCAGTTCTCTAAAAGCTATTTTTGAATGTAGGACATAATCTGGGAATTTCTGGGGTCGTCATGACTACCATGAATCACCAAGAGAGCATTCACCAAGAAATTGCTTTCATCAATAATTTCCTTTCCCTTAGAGCTTTAAGGCAATGCAATGGACTTTGTCTGCTGTCTAGTGTAAACTAAAGGCTCATCAACATTAGTTACATCTGCAATGTCACTCCAGGTGATGGTATCATCCTCAAATACAAGTTCATTCTCATTCTGTTCCCATCTCCACCCATATCTCCTACTAACCATTCATTGATTTCATTAATACCATTTAGGAGAATGGGATCAATCAGATCACGATTGTCAAATTGATATTTAAGAGTTTGGTTATATTTAATATAAACCAAGTCCTCCAACTTTTAATGCTCAAGTTCACTTCGTCTCTTGGAATGAATCTATTTGATAATTAACAATAAAACATATTAGTTTCACAATCAGTTATGAAGCTCTATAAATAAAACCATTGAGCATGTACTTACATGCTATGAAGCACCGATACCGACACGGCGTTTTCGATACGTTTCCGATACGTGATGTCGATACGTTACTTCAAAAATACTAATATTTCGATACGTTCCGATACGTCTTAGTATTAAATAATATTTTTAATATAAAAAATATATTTTACATTAACAAAATATAATAAAAGAAATTATAAGCATAGATAATAGATTATTCATACAGAATCATAAAATTTAAGAAATACATAACAAAAAGAAAACCAAGACAAAAACATACATAATTAACATAATACAAAAATAAATAAATAAATTAATGAACAACAATAATAACAATGACACATAAAAAAGAGAAAAGATTAAAGTATAGATGGTAATTTAAATCGTGTGTAAAATATTATTGAACAAAATTGCTTTTATTTTAATTTTTTTTATCAAAAGGACTAGTAATAAAAATGGATAGAAAGATATACGAATTATAATGTTTCCCAAAATTAAAAAAAGATATACAATATTATTAATGCTCTACTCTTTCATATACATGATAAAGAAAAAAAGAATGAAAGAGGATAACCGACAAAGAGAAAGGATAAAGACAAACCGACAGATACAAAGCCCAAAGGCACATCAGCACATGCAAATAGAGAGAGGTATCTGAAGAAGTCTTTGGATGTGGGTATTGGAGCAAAGCGACAAATAAAATAAACTATTGACAGTTATAGAAGGCAGATGTACGAAGCCAAGAAGGAAGATCCAAAGAGGTCGCCGGAGCAAAAAAGGAGGAACAGCAACGGCGTCCAGAGAGGAAGAACAGAGACACGGCGTCCAGAGAGGAAGAACAGAGACAGCTTATTCGAATGAGGTGAGTATATAAGTGAGATTTCGATTTAGGTACTTCTGGGCCAAAATCGTTCGTTAGAAAACAACCTTCATTTTTTAAAAATTCTCAAAACTTTCATTTGACCGTATTGAAGAAGTCGTTGACCCATCTGATACTGCAAAAACCGTGTCAGAAGCGTACCCGTCTGGGACGCGTATCGGATACGTGAATTTTTTTTTTTAACGAATCGGTGCTTCATAGCTTACATGCTCAAAAATACTCCAATTGCGCTCACATCCCGAAGAGCTGCAAGTCAAACTCAATACCTTAAATGGCAATTTTTTCCAGTGCTTTTTTTTGTGTTCCATACGTCTCCCACCATTGCACTGTAATACAAAATATAATAACTCAATAATATGACTAGTTAAATAAATTGTAATAATAAAAGCTTAAAAGGATCAAATACTTACGAGAGACACTTTATCCCTTTGTCTTTTGGCTGAGAGACCTCGAGCTTTCTTATATAGCTCCAATTCATTCATAACCTGGTCCATCTCATCCACATTTGCAATTAGCCTCTCAAAGCATTTTAAATAGCCATTAACCACTTCTAAATCATCATCCAGCCTTGGATTAGAATAAAAAAATTGAGGGTTAAGATAATGCCCAGCTGCATGCAAAGGATGATGAAGTTGACAATCCCATCTTCTATCAATGATAGCTAAAATATCTTTATACTTATCTTCTTTTCCAATTCCACGAAATGCATTTTGAATTGCTTCTTTGCCCTATCCATTGCTTCGTAAATGTAACCCATTGCTGGCCTTTTTCCATTATCAACCATCCTCAACACATCCACAAGAGGCCCCATAGCCTTAAGACAAAAAATTACATCATTCCAAAAAGATGTACTTAGTACAATATCAGTTGCCCTTTTCCCTTTAGGGTCTTTGGCCGTCTTAGATTTTGACCACTCATCAGAAGTGAACATTCTTCGGAGGTTGTTTTTTCTGCTTATATAACCTCTGCAATGTCAGGAATGTGGTAGCAAACCTTGTCACTCCATGCCTCACCAATTCAGTTTTGCTTGTGAATTGCTGCATAGTGTTCAATGCCAATAAATGATTATAAATGAAACCTACTAGACTGATGCCTCTTTTTATTGTCCTCTTTACTCTATCAAGTTTTCCAATGTCTTCTAGCATCAAGTCTAAACAATGTGCAACACAAGGAGTCCAAAACAAATGACGTCTCTTGGCTTGTAAAAATTTCGCTAACATCACAAGCATAAACTTAAATAAGAAAACGAATCACAAATAAATTGAAATATTAACAATTGAATGAGTTTACTGTCTCTTACCGGCCAAAACATAATTGCTTCCATTGTCGGTCACCACTTGAACAACATTTTGTTCACCAATCTCCATCACAATAGTGTCCAGAAGTTGACATAATTTCTCACCAGTCTTGACATAAGAAGAAGCTTCAACACTCTTGACAAACATAGTTCCTGATGGACAATTCACCAAGAAATTGATCAAAGTTCTACCCTTCTTATCTGTCCATCCGTCAGACATAATAGAACATCCGTAGTTTACTCTCTCTATCTCATGCTCCTTCAATAATTCCTTGATGTACTCTTAACTCCTTTTGAAGGAGTTTAACTCTACATTCACAATAAGATGGAACCCTTCAAATGAGGACCATAGTTCCCTATTGCTTCAACCATTAACCTGAAACTTGTAAAGCGTACAACATTGAAAGGTATCGCATTCGTTACTAAAAACCTCTCAATATATTGAACTGTTCTGGCTCTAGCTTCTTTATAACAAGCATCATTGATGCTTGTTTTCCTTTTTCCCAACTTGATGCTGTTTTCTGGTTTTTTTAAGAGAAGTAGGTCCATGGGACCTTTCACAATCTTGCCTTTCTTGGCAGGAACAGTAGTCACATGTCACATTCCTTCTGTTATTGATATCCTTCAAGGAATTCCATTGCCATTCCATATCACGATATGGACCCGGGGGTTTAACCAAAGCACAAGAAGGAGACTCTTGTGTCTTGTCATTGGTTGCTATCACTAGCTACATTTATTGTTATAGAGGGGAAAAAAAGAAATCTATTACAAGGGTGATGTGAGTCTTGTGGTGCAGTTACGGGCAAAAAAAGAAATGTGTTTAATAATTCACATTTACAAGATAGTAAAAAAATTATAATTATAACCTCCTTTTTTTAATTTATAATTATTTTTTTTTTCAAAAAAGATTATTTTGTATTTGAATACAAATTTTAAAATTATTTAAAATAAAAATGATGTATTTTTTTTACTTATTTTACAAACAAAAATTATTAACTTTTAAACATTATTAAGCGTATTTAATAATTCACAGTTTGTAAAATAAAAAATATATATAATTTTTTATTATAAAAATAATTCATAATTTTTTTTAAGTAAATTGAAAGTAATGTATCAAAAAATAATTCACAGTTTGTAAGTTTGTAAAATATAAAAAAAGTACATAATTTTGATTTAACTAAATTGAAAGTAATGTATCAAAAAAAAGAATTGAAAGTAATGGGTTCACATTTTTTTTTCTTTTTAAATTTAATCTAATCAAAGGTGTGTAGCAAATAAACACGGGACTGTCATGTGTTTCAATATATATGTATGAATGAGTCTAACATATGACCAGACTCCACAGAGCATTAACCTATTATGAGAGTTAGAAAAAAAATAACGAAGAAAAAAAAATGAAGGACAAAAAAAATAAGGGAAGAAGTCAGGAACCCCCCACCCCCCCCCCCCCCCCAAAAAAAAAAATAGGAGGGTAGAAAAAAAAAAAAAAGAATTAAAATAAAGTTAGAAAACTTACGAGGATGCACGAGTCAAGAGGAGAAGCTGCCAACAAAGAGACAAAAAAAGAAGATGCAACTGGGAATTCGTGGAATAGAAAAGTATATAAAAAAAAAATAAGAAAGCTGCCGACTTGAATAGAGAGGTCTTCTTCATTCAGTGGAGTGTGTCAGTGGAATTTAAAAGAAAAAGAGAGGTCCAAAACGTTAAAAGAGAGGCCCAATGTTCTTTTAATATTACATAATGAAAAGGACAAAAATATCCTCGTCTTTTTTCTGTTTTGCACAGGCAAAACATTATTTCTTCTTCGTTGCTTTTCATCCGTGATTTTCACCGCTTCAGACGCCGTTTTTAACCGCTATTTCAGCCGCTTCAGACGCGATTTATTTCTGGTGCGATGCGGCGCGGTTTGTCGCGGAGGTCCTCCGCAACCTGCGAACGGCGCAGAAAGCAGCGCTTTTGACAAGTATGAAACTAATAGCCCTTATTTATACTAATAGTAAACTCCTAAAATAAGGAAACAAATCATAAAATTTAAGGATGTGTGTAAACCAACCCTAAGAGGTCACCTACTATACTCCAAACTATTTTAAGATATGATCATATTATTTTAATATATCTTCTAGATATTCTAACACTCCCCTTGAAGCTAAAGCTTAAAAGACCGGGGCTAGATTGCATATCTAGGACAAATATTGATGGGTCGAAAACTGTGGTGGTAGGCCGAAATGGGGTAAAACACACCAGATCTCATGGTTGCTTGCCAGAAAAGACATCGGCAGGTGGCCGAAGAAATACGGATGGTGACTGGAAAAGTGGTGTTGGCTGCCGGAATGAAGGCACCCAAGTGGATAGTGGGTAGTAGCTGATGACTGAGAGAAGGTTGATGAAAATGTGAAGACCAAAAAAAGTTGATGTAGAACTGCGTATTTTAGGGAACTTGACAACATAATAGTCATGAGACATGTCACGGAAGGTGGTACCGCTCTAATACCATGTTAAAATTACAGGGGTTTAGGTACTGAGGGAGGAAAACAAATACTTACAATAAACTTATATTGATATTTTGTGAATGATGTGATGAAAAGACAAATTAATATCCCCTATTTATACTAATACTAGACTCTTAAAACAAGGAAAGAAATAATGAATAATAAGAAAATATGGAAATTAATCCCAAGACATTATTTAGGATACTCTAACCATTTTAAGATATTGTCATGAACCAACTATTCCAAAAGTTTAAGTTTTTGGGTGAAAGCACATGAATAGTTTTAATATGTCTTTAACATATTTCTATTATATCTAACATACCCCCTCACGCAAGAGCCATTTTTTTGTATTGGACTTGAATTGTGGACAATGCACAAGCATACCTAGTGCTAAGATTTAACCCTTTTTCTATTAGAAGAATGGAGTGTCAATGATTGAATTCTAGACCACTTGGTCATAGAAGCTTTGAAACCAACTTGAATATTGAGGGAAATTGAGTGTCTAATCAGACCACGCAAGATTCTATTATATAATAAAGAGGATAATTACAAGGATTCCTTTACCTATTTACACGATCCTCTACATTAACTCTTATTATGCACATATTCTAATCAGATCCTTATTAGATACAATCATATTAATAAGATATGATAACTAGACATCTTCTAGATATTCTAACAGAGCTTTTGGTTAGTTATTTTTGCTTAAAGTCTACACCTATTATGTTTTTTGGCCTTAATGTATTACAAGCAATCTCTGTGGTTAAATGTAATGGAGTGAACCTAAAGCTATCTGCTTTAAAGCATTTGATAGCTACCTCTAATTCATGAGTATATGTCCTTACTTATGTTTATAAAAACTTTTATGTACATAAGTACAAACTCATGTTTCAACATATCAGACCATGTAATGCAGAAATTATAAAGGTCATATATTAGCATATGCATAAAATGAGAAATTGTAAACTGAGTAGATGTGTTCAATATAGCTAAGTAGGATAAATAAGTCAAATTATCAAATAATTACACGAGTCTCTGTTTGCAGTTTTGTATATGGAGCTTATTCATGAGCTTTCACTTTGAATACCATTGCATTTAAATTCAAATTGAACTTACTAATTAAACACTTTATGTTTTGTTTGAGCTCAACTGAAACTTGAATAAGTATAATCACATTTGAGCTTGGTCCCTTGTTAAGGGAAGGAGGAGGAAGTACTAACAGTTGAAAAAGATTTACAAGTTTGGTGGGTTAGGGCCTTAAGGCTCTGCATATTGAACAAATTTTGAAGTTCCATCTATCCATATGTTTAATCTTTTGAACACCTTCAGATCATTCTGCATAAAGCTTTGTCTTTAGATATGATATTGGAAGTTTTTTTTTTTGGGGTGTTGGGTTGGGTTGGTAGTGGTGATTTGTTTGATGTAATTGAAGTATAAAACTTTTGCCTGAAACCTCATCTTAGTTTTGAAGTTAATTTGTGTTTGTTTCAATTTTTCATCCAGGCCGCAAACCTTGCTGCTGTTACTACGTTTTTGCTGGAGGTGCACCCGTCTCTGATGAGACCAAGTAGTAGAGAAAGTATGCTTTCTAATTAGACACTCCAGCTTTTTTTTGGTTTGATTAAAGATTTTCTTTTTTCAGTTCAACTTCTTTTATTGAATAATATCATCTTTCATTTCTTTTCTTTTCTTTTATTTTGGATAAAAGAAGGAAGGATATTGTTAGTAAGTGTAAAGAACCAATTCAACCCAAAAGCTTAAGCTATTAAGTGAAGGTTAATCAATGATTTATATACTTCTCTAACACGCCCCCTCACACGAGAGCCTACTGAGTATGAAGGGTGGATAATGCATAGGCCCACCTACCTGTGCTAAGAAATTCCACAAAGAAAATAGAGGACGGCGAAGATCGAACCCGGGATACCGAGGCTCTGATACCATGTAAAGAACCAATTCAACCCAAAAGTTTAAGCTGTTAGATGAGGGCCTCTTTAATGGTTCATATTTGTATTCTAACACTCCCCCTTACAAGAGAGCCAATTGGGCTTCAAAGGGGGATGATGCATCAGGCTCAGCCTAATACAACCATCTCACCAAAAAGCTTAAGCTATTACGTGAGGGTGTCTTTAATGATTTATATTATACTCTAACACGTCCCCTCACAAGAGAGCCCATTGGACTTGAAATGTGGATGATGCATGAGGCTCAGCCTACGTGTGCTAAAAAATTTCACAAAAAAAATGAGGGGCGGCGAGGATCGAACCCGGTACACGAGGCTTTGACACTATGTGATAAGAACTTTGGGATGTACCACCCCAAAAGCTAGCTCAAAAGATGAGAGTGTACAAGGCTTTATAAACCCCACACCATACCACCAATGCGGGACTCCAAGTCTCATACCTTGCAAATGAGTCCTAACATTCCCCCACGCTCCGCAGCCTCGGTGCCCATGCGGGCTGGTTTTGCACTAGTCTTTTACTAGCCCATGGCGAACATTGTAATGTCGGCGTCACCACCCGCCCTGCTCGATTGCAACCAGGAGATATAGTGGAAGACTCTGATATCATGTGAAGAATCAATTCAACCCAAAAGCTTAAGTTATTATGTGAAGGCCCATCAATGGTTTATATATTTCTCTATCAGTAAGAAAGAAGGCAAATACATTTTGGGCTGAGCATGGGCAGTCCTCAAAAGAAGGAAATTAGAAAATAGAACAGCGACCCAAAGTGTCTCAAAAACGTAACAAAGCTGTCCAATCTCTTTGCGTATCAGTCATAGAAGCTTCCTTGAAACAAGTAACAACCATAGGCAAAGAACCATAGAAGTCAAAAACACAATTCTATCGTAAAACGAATTTCAGGGGAGACACCTCGAATTTACAGGCATTCTGCTCCAAAGAACTGCTAAGCCTCTACCCTGCCATAACATCACAGCCTGGTTTTACCTGCAAACACTTTTGAAGTGTATGATTAGAAACTGCTCCAAAGTGAAAGGACATACCCATCCATTGATCTCCTAGAACCCCAAACATATTCTCTGAGAGATTAGTCACCTTACAATGAGAAAATAAGTGGGTTGTTGTTTCTGAATTAGATTTGAACATAATGCTGTACCCTGCTTACTTTGCTTCTTCATGATTGTAAATTTTTTCATTATTTTAGTAAATATGAGATTATTCTTTCTCTTTACCATTGGTTTTTAATCCGGCAAGTGTTAATGTCAGATTCTATGATTGCTGAGGATGATATGATGGGTGATGATGAAATCATGGAAGTAGCTTTGAATAGAAAACTGGATCAACAAATTTGTAATGCCATAGATACCCGTTTCCTTCTGCAACTGGTATACCATCTTGCAAATTACTTTTGTATCTAGAGTGTCATTGAGTTTTTTTTTTACCATTTATTTTGAAAAATTGATGGAGAATTGTGACTTCTTGTCATGTGCAGACAAATATATTATTTAGAGACATTTCACCTGCCAATGGATCAGATTATGGGCCAGATGATAGGGAGGTTGCAGCTGTTGGTGCAGTTTGTGGGTTTTTATATGTTATCTACAACACATTGCCACATGAAAGGACTATGACTGTGCTTGCCTACAGAACTGAACTTGTCCCTATGCTTTGGAATTTTATGAAGCGATGTCATCAGAATAAAAAATGGTCATCTTTGTCTGAGCAGTTGTCATACCTCTCCGGTGATGCGCCTGGTTGGCTGTTACCTCTAGCTGTATTCTGTCCTGTGTACAAGTAATATTTTTTTCTACTCTTGACTTGTTTAATAATACTTTTACGGATGCATGAACTATAGTCTAGTTTGACCTATTTTTCTTTATCAGGCATATGCTTATGATAGTTGATAATGAGGAGTATTATGAGCAGGAGAAACCACTATCACTGAAGGATATTAGAAGCCTCATCATTTTGTTGAGGCAGGTAATGTTTTGGAATTGATTATCTATTTTTGTAAGAAAAGTTATTGATGGTTACGAGATTGACTCTTCATTAATGGACTGCTGAAATGGAATATTTTCTTCCTTGCACTTTAAGAAAGATCCAAATAAAGTGTCAAATCCTTACAAGGTTGTATATCCACTTGTATATATCAGTCCAAAGAAATGGAGTATGTTAGATTTTGAAAAACTGGTGGTCTTGACCAATGATATTGCAAACCTGCCTAAGGATTTTGCAAAAATGCTCAATACAAATGTAACCTCCTTTGCAGTTACAGTTAATTTTGGTTAAGTTTGCTGTTTCTGCAGGCACTGTGGCAGCTACTGTGGGTGAATCACACCTCATCTTCTAATTCGGTAAAATCTGTTCCAGTTAGCACGACTAGTAAAAGGCAGGTTGAAGCCATTCAACAGAGGGTCAGCATTGTAGTCTCTGAGCTCCTGTCGCAGGTAGAATATTAGAAACAATCGCAGTTGTTGTATATCTAGTTTCATGTTTACTCTCCGTTAGTCCATTGGACTTAGAAGCTTTCAAGATATTATGGTCGTACCTTAAAGGGCATCTCTTAGTGCTATACTTTGGGATAGGTTTATGTTTTTGGTTTCTACGGTGCTATGACATAACTATTTCAAGGGAGTTAATTATTCTTACAGCATTAATTATTCTTTCTTTTTCCTTAATTGTTTAATTTTTCGTATTTCATTTTGAAGGATCAACATCAACATCAACAACACCTTTAACCCAAGCTAATTGGGGTTGGTGGTAGATGAACCCAATAATATATAAGAGGAGATTAAAAAATAAAAATGAAAAATAAAATAAAATAAAAATAAAAATGGGGAAAGGAGAAATGGGAAATAAGATAAAAGACAAGAAGGGGAAAAGAAGGAAATGGGGGATTGAAGAGGAAAAGGACTAAAAATGGACCATCTGGAACATAGGAATAATAACGGGTCTAACTTTCCACCCTGCTTATAGCTTTTCTCCATTCCGTCCTAAGACACACCGTCCGCTAATCTATATCCTACTCCATTAAGTCTTGTTTAACTACCTTTTCTCAGGTAAGTTCCGGTCTACCTCTACCTCTCTTTGTGTCAAGATCTTAGTAACAAATTTTTGTTCTTACAGGAGCATCCAAGGGTCGTCTCATTATGTGTCCAAACTACCTCGATGTATATTCCCTCATCTTTTCAGTTACCGCCACTATTACTACTTCTATCTTTCGTCGAATATATTCATTTCTTATCTTATTCGTCCTCGTATAACCACACATCCACCTTAACATCCTCATTTCTGCTACTTCTATTTTATGCTCGTGTTGCTTATGTGCTGGCCAACATTCAACTCCATATAACATTGCAGGTCTTACTGCTGTTCTATAGAATTTTTCTTTTAGCTTAAGAGGAATTTTGCGGTCACACAAAAATCCAGATGCACTCTGCCATTTCATCCATACTACTCTGATTCTATGATTTACATCCTTATCAATCTCACCACCTTTTGGCAAAATTGATCCCATGTATCTAAAAGCATCTTTCTTGGGTACCTCTTGACCAAGTAGATGCATGGGGTCTTGATCTCCATCTCTTATCGGAGAAAACTCACACTTCATATACTCAGTCTTGCTCCGGCTTAACATGTTGATGTTGATTTTGAAGGATATCTCTTCCTTTCTGTAGTTGTGCTTTCAATCTTTTCTCACTAATAATATTTCTTATCCTATTAAATAAAAATGATATTTTTATGTTTTCCTAACTGTTCTAATTTCTATTCATATTACAAGTTAATTGATATCTGTTCTCTGAAGAGGCATCTATATGCATTTGCCACCAGTAATCATATGCGTATGATTTTATTTTATTTTTTAATATTTTTCCTAACTTGCCTTTTGAATTTCTTCCCACAGCTGCAAGATTGGAACAATAGACGACAGTTTACATCCCCCAGTGACTTCCATGCTGATGGAGTGAATGACTTATTTATCTCTCAGGTATTGTCTCTACTATTTATTTTTAAGGTAATAAGAAAGGAAACTTGATTTGGTAGTTCTACAATCTTTTTCCGCAGGCTGTAATAGAAAATACACGAGCAAATGAAATTTTGAAGCAGGCTGCTTTCTTGATACCATTTACCAGCAGGGTTAAAATATTCACGGTAAGAATCTCAAAACAATTTTGATTTGATTCAGATATGCCTTATTATCTCTATATTATGGATTTCCAATGGATGACATGAGCAACTTTGGAGCTTCCGTATATCTTAATATGTCTCTAGTGTGTTTCATATATTGACTATTGGCTATTTATTGTTTCATCAGTCTCAACTAGCTGCTGCTAGGCAAAGACAAGGATCTCAGGCTCTGTTTGCAAGAAATCAGTTCAGAATAAGACGAGATCATATTTTGGAAGATGCTTATAATCAAATGAGTCAGTTGTCAGAAGATGATCTTCGAGGATTGGTAATGTCCTTTTCTAGGGCTTATCCTCTCATTTATTTGCCATTCCCTGCTTTTTTGGTTTTTAGGGAAACTTGTAATTCATCCATTTATGCAAAATTTTCAGATTCGTGTGACTTTTTTCAATGAATTCGGAGTTGAAGAGGCTGGAATTGATGGAGGTGGAATATTCAAAGATTTCATGGAGAACATCACACGTGCTGCATTTGATGTGCAGTATGGATTATTTAAGGTCATATGAATATTGTGCTATTGTTTATGTTTCATGTTTGTTAAAGATATAGAAACTGTTAGATATAAAACCATTTCTATTATGCCTTCATTTGACAGCTGAAGCTTTGGTATAGTTTGTTCATGACGTAGGATCATAGCCTCTTATGCCCTGGTGGTTTAAAGTTGAATCTTTGTTGATCCCATTCTTTTAAATAAAAGTTTAATCCTAGTACAAGATAGGTTGATGTTAATGCTAATGTTTGTGATGTATAGATTGAGTCTGTGCATTTTCTATGCTTTAAGCCCATAGGGCTCTTGTGTAACTGCGCATGTTAAATTTAAAATCATTCATATGTTTTGAACAAAAAATTTAAACTTTTGTAATAGTTGGTTCATTGAAAAATCATAGAATCAGAGCAGGGTGGATGAAATGACACAGTGCATCTGGGTTTTTGTGTGACCGCAAAATCCCCCTTAAGTTAAAAGGAAAATTCTATAAAACAGCAGTAAGACCGGCAATGCTATATGGAGCGGAATGCTGGCCAGCACATAGGCAACATGAGCATAAGATGGGAGTAGCAGAGATGAGGATGTTAAGGTGGATGTATGGTTATACAAGGATGGATAAGATAAGAAATGAAGATATTCGACGAAAGATAGGAGTAGTACCGGTAGCCGAGAAGATGAGAGAATATAGATTGAGGTAGTTTGGGCACGTGATGAGAAGGCCCCTGGATGCTCTTGTAAGAACAGAAGTTTGTTACCAAGAGCTCAACACAAAAAGAGGCAGAGGTAGGCCGAAACTGACTTGGGGGAAGGTAGTAAAACAAGATTTAATGGAGTGGGATATAGATTGGCGGATGGTATGTCTTAGAACGGAATGGAGAAAAGCTATAAGTATGGTGGAGGGTTAGACCCGTTGTTATTCCTATGTTCCAGATGGTCCCTTTTTAGTCTTTTTCCCCTTCATTTCCCCCACTTCTTCTTTTCCCTTTCTTTTTTACTTTTATTTATTTATATACACACATATATATATATATATATATATATATATATTATTACTGTTTTTTTTTTTACAACCGTTTTGTAGCTTTCATGTGGGTTCATCTACCACCGACCCCAATTAATTTGGGATAAAGGTGTTATTGATGTTGATGTAATAGTTGGTTCATTATTAAAACTATTCACTCTACCACACAACTTAAGCTGACTTATTTCTTCACAATATGATACTACTTTCAACACAGTAGCCAAGCCTGAGCACCAAATTCAAGCTTTTTGATTTATTCATAAGTGAACAATATGGTTGCAATGGGGTTGTTGGAAGGTGAAGTGTGAACTCAGAATTCTAGTGAGCAAATAAGCTTTACATATTGAAAATATAATTATACTACTATGTTAAATAACTGTTAGAAATCACTAGGGTTTATCTGATAAGGATAGCTGTTTTCTTTTACAGCTGGTTTGCTATGCCTGGCGACAATCCTTCTCTTGTACCCTGGCTTGGGATAGGCTATGTAAACATAGGCGGAGTTTATTTTTAATATAGTTGTTTTTATTAATATTACTATTATTATTAATATTTTTTCCCTCAATCTTTTATTATTTTTTATTTTTTCCCTCAATCTTTTATTATTTTTTATTTGGGTTCATCGACTACCGACTCTAATTGATTTACGATAAAGGTATTGTTGATTTCGATGTTAATGTTGAATTGTTAGAAATATAATATGAAATATTAAACCATTTATCTGTCTTCATCTAATAGCTTAAGCTTTTGGGAAAGTTGGTTTCTTGACATGGTATTAGAGCTTCTTTAACCAGGGTCCAAAGTTTGATCCTTGCCGCCCCCATTCTTCTAATAATCTTCTAATAAATATTGTGAAATTTTTCTAACATAGATAGGTGGGCATTTGCATTGTCCACCCTTCAAGCCCAATGGATTCTTGTGTGGAGGGCGTGTTAGAAATATAACAAAAAATATAAAATCATTCATCTGTCTCCATCTAACAGCTTAAGCTTTTAGGAAAGTTGGTTGTTTGACAATAACAAGAAGTCAACAACAACCACAGGTCTGTATTGTGTCACTGAAGATACTATGGAAAGAAATAAGCTTTGAAATTTTGAAATTTTTTATTGGAATTTGCTTCAGCTTATACTTCTTCCTTGATGTTCCATTTATTTTTACATTGTGATTTATTGCTTTTTGGTAATCTGAACATCAATGCATCCAGGAAACGGCAGATCGCCTGCTTTATCCTAATCCTGGGTCAGGAATGATACATGAACAACATCTCCAATTTTTCCACTTTCTCGGTACTCTTCTTGCAAAGGTATGTTTTTGTTGCTTTTCCCTCTTGTCTCTTTAATAAAGTGGGGCCTTGCATAGTCACCGAGTCTACTACTGCATGCTATTCTATCTTCTTTGTTACACTGTTAATTGGTTCACATCCTTTTATTTATGCATTTTTTTCCCTATATTGATTGTGCTTGATTGGAACCGAACTTCATGCTTACAACTTACATTTGCAGGCTATGTTTGAAGGTATTCTGGTTGATTTACCATTTGCTACATTCTTTTTGAGCAAATTGAAACAAAAGTAAGACTTCAGGTTTCTCTGGTTTGCTTTAGATAGTTTTTTTTTTTTTTTTTCATTTATATTTAGGTTCTTCAATGATCAAATCCTGAGTTTCTATGCATTTGTTTACTTGCTTCCAGCTTCTTTATGCTGATGTTTGAGTTTCACAAATGACACTTGGTAGCATTCGTGTAATGCATAACCGGGGGTGGCTATACTGTATTTCTCGAACTGAATTGATTGTGCGCACTTCTTATAGAATTGTATTTCATGATTTTAGCAAATGAGTTCCTCTGTTTTTATAAAAGTCCGTTTATGTGTTTGATTAGAGATTGGCATGCTATAAGAGGAAGCTATACTTCCTGCTTTCTTACACATTTTATTTTCCTTATATTAGGCACAACTATTTGAATGACTTACCTTCCTTGGACCCGGAGTTATATCGTCATCTCATCTTTCTGAAGGTAATATCACTTCTTTGGCTTTCATTTCCTAGCATCTGCCTCATTCTTGAGATATCTTTAATTCTTTTTAGATTAATGTCCATTTTGGTCCTCCTAAGATGTTAGTGTCATCACATTATTCCTCCATTTATTGGCAACATCATATTGGTCCTTCAATGTCAATTAATTCCATCAGTTTTGTCTTTCTAAGGACTGATTTGCTTGCACAAATTGACATTGGAGGGCTAGTTTGATGTACTTGTGAATGGAGGACCGACGTTCATTTACTCCTTTTTACTATTTAAATCTCAATAGACAAGAACAAGATGGATAATTTCAAATATCTCCTTTCTGATTGGGAACAAAATTACTTATGCTAGTTACTTCACTGGAAAAGGTTTCACAAATTATAAATCAATGGTTCATTGTCGTACTTACATTATTTATAATCTAAAGAAAACTATTATAACTCGTACTGGAAAAGGTTTCACAAAATATAAATCAATGGTTCATTGTCGTACTTACATTATTTATAAGCTAAAGAAAACTATTATAACTCGTAGAATATCTTAGGTGATATCATGTATATATTGCAGAATCAATTAGGATTATATATCTGGCGTAGAATCATTGTAATTAATACCAGCGTTAATATATAGAAACCGTGTGTAGACTGTTACAGAAACATGATTTCATCCTGTCTAGTTTTCCCTCTAAACTTCAAGTGTAGCTATACATGGTGCAGATTTTTCTTAATAAAAATATACAGAAAGATAGTACATACATAAATATCCATGGCAGTGCTATGACAGTGACATGTTGAATTGCCATGCCACAAGGATACGCACTAAATTTTGTAACCTTAAAATTTTTAATTGTCGGATAAATTATAAAATATTTAATCTATAAAACAATACATATCTTCTAAATGAGTCACACAAGTTATAAGGATTGTTTCCTAACTTTCGTATTTATCCTTAAAAAACTAGTATGTGCCTGTGCTTACTAAAAAACCCTTAAATTAGTTCCTGAGATTGCGTGTAACTGATCCTATCATATATACATAATATGCTGCTGTAAATATCTCTGACATTCCAACACTATATGGTGTTCAGGTTAGAGCGGGGTGGGATGGGGTTTGTAACACAATTACTATGGAACCGGTGAAAGATTTCTTGTAGTGCTTCCTGATAGATTAAGTGGGAAAGGATATTCTGGAAAGAATATACCAAATGATTAGAAAGCTAGGAGTTGGTTAGTTAGTTAAGGGGAGTGCCCCTTGTGAAGAGATTTCAATCTCTTGTATGTTTGTTTGCTTTGCATCAATAAAATTCATTTTTTTTCTATCCTTTTATCTATTATCTGTACTCCATTACTACTCATTAAGCCATCTAGAAATCTAGAGTCGTATCGCATCCACTTTTCCTTTGTGAGTGTCTCAATTTTTTTCCCATTGAATCTGTTTTGACCAACAGCATTATGAGGGTGACATTTCAGAGTTGGAGCTATACTTTGTTATATTAAACAATGAATATGGAGAGCAAAAAGAAGAGGAGCTGCTTCCAGGGGGAAAGAACCTACGTGTCACAAATGAGAATGTCATTACTTTTATCCATCTTGTAGCCAATCATCGCTTGAATTTTCAGGTGAAGTAAATTTATTTTAATTTGAATTGCATCTCTTAGTACCAATGCATTTATGTTTCCATTGCATAACAAAAATAATGATGTTTTCAGATACGTCAACAAAGTTCTCATTTCCTGAGAGGATTTCAGCAACTTATTCAGAAGGATTGGATTGATATGTTTAATGAGCATGAACTTCAGGTTTTCTTTTTAAGACTCTAAAGCCTTTTTTTTCCTGTAATTTTTTTAATTTTAATTCTTGCTTTTGCATAGTGGTGTTAGGATCTTTCAATAACTGGATGCTTATCATTTTTTCATGCATGTCATAATACCCTTGTCACTGCTAGAGAGCTGGGTACAAAACTATGTTTTGTCCGTAGTTGCAAATTATGTTCCTAATGATCCACAATAATAAAGTGAAAAGTATGCCTTGACTTTCTTGTCTTTCCTTATATTCTTTTGACCTTTCTTGAGCTGATGCTATCCTTTTTTAGTTTCTGTTTTCTTCTCTTGTTACTTGGCTGCTTCTGGATGATTGTTTTCCTCCCATTTCGCACTGTAAAGCTTCTACTTCTGTAAATTGAGAAGACCATAAATAACAAGATACTAAGTAAATTTTCTTATCTAATATCAATCACTAACGATTCTATTTTGTAATCTTATTTCAGAGGTTAGTTTTTTTTTCTTTTTCCATGCTTTTAGGAGTTTATCTAGGACAGTAAAGGGGTTGCCATGTGCAAAGGAAGCAGATCCGCTCTAGTTTGAGCCTATTTTGTTAAGTTTAAGTAATAGGAAAATTTAGAAATACCTATAAACTGCTTAGCTAAAACTAAACTACGTTGTGAAATTCATCAAATTGTTTGTTGTCTAACTGCAATTCCATTTTATGTAAGTATTGATCTTAAAAGAACCTGTCAAACAATAGACTGACTATCCCAAAAACTTTAGGATCTGGGGCAACAAGTAATTAAGGATTGAACTCTTGCTGTTTTTATTATTATTAATTAAATGATTTTATTAGAAATCTGAGAGGAAATACAACTAGGGTGAGGAGATAAAATAAAAAAAACTAGATTCAACAAGAAAACATTTAAAGGCTCCAGAGTGTAGCACAGGTCCCCTCTCTCTCTGCATGACAGTAGGGGGAACCCCATTGAAACAGTTATGAGCTTAACAGAGAGGACGGAAACTTTCTTTGGTTTTATTTGCGTTTCTGTGAGCCATTTTTGGTTGCATTCTAGATTGACAATATTTGTTGGTGGAGAAACAGTGGACTGAAGAATGTTTGATAAGAAATGATGCGAGAGACGTGTGGTGGCTCAGAAACTGTACTTTTACAAGCAAGGACTGTGGGACTAAGCTTCACAGTAAAATATTATTTGCTCTTGTCTGGCCTTGTTTGTTTTTTGACTTGAATCTTGGTTGATTGATGATCCTCCTTTTAACAGTCTGCAAGTGATTTTTTTTTTTTTTTTGTGGAGCTTCTTTGCTGTTACATCTTTCATGTGACAGTTGTTTCTTAGACTATTTTTAGGTATCAGTTCACGGTTTCTTTATGGTGGTTTTTCAAAATGGATTTTGGAGGATTAAGAGAGAATGTTTTGCTCATATATTTTTGTTTGTTCTTTTGTTTAGTTATATTAGGACAATATCCTCCTAGTTAATTCTCTTGCTTTTAGAAATATATATATATATATATATATATATATATATATATTAGAACTTTTTTTGTTTTAAGAGAGAATGTTTTGCTCATATATTTTTGTTTGTTCTTTTGTTTAGTTATATTAGGACCATATCCTCCTAGTTAATTCTCTTGCTTTTAAATATATATATATATATATATATATATATATATATATATATTAGAACTTTTTTTGTTTTACTTCTAGCTTTATTCCTTATTTTCCAAGAGGAGTGCAGTTATTACTGATTGAATTTATGAAAGTATTAGTTAGATGATGGCACATGTTTTATTTTGTTTTTTTTGTTCTATATCTTGTTACTATCTATTACTTTCTTGTTACTAACATGATTGTGTGCAATTACTGATTTATATTGAGATGCCAATGTGGTTTCTTTCCGTGAGCCTAAGTTGAAGAATGTGTGGATTGGTCTGATTCCTTTTTTAGGATAGTAATTAAGCATAAATGTTGTCTCCTTTTTTTCTCTCAGTTTGTTGCATCCCTTAAATCAATGGAAACTTAAATTTGCATTTTTTAACTTGTTCTTTTCACCAGACACAGTTAATTCTTCTTCTTTTTTGGCTCAATAATGTAAAAATCATATCTCTAGCAATTGGCTTTACAATTTCTTTTGAACTTGGATTAAAGAGCATCACAAATGGTATCATTATGCTATAGCTAATAGCCATAGTTGTTTCTCTTACACCTGTTGTTGAGATATATAAAACCATTAATGTAGCCTCACCCAATAGCTTAAGCTTTTAGGTTGAATTGGTTCTTTACATGGTATCAAAGCCTTGTGTCCCGGTTCGAACCTCACCGCCCCCCACTTTCTTTGTAGTGGAATTTCTTTCTTCGCACAGGTAGGTGGGCTTGTGCATTGTCCACCCTTCAAGCCCAGTGAGCTTTCGTGTGAGGGGGCGTGTTGAGATATATAAAACCATTAATGTAGCCTCACCCAATAGCTTAAGCTTTTGGGTTGAATTGGTTCTTTACACCTGTTATACATATATGGTAGCTCAAAGGCTTGATTTGTTAATATGAACTTATTTGTTGACACTGAACTTCATTATTTTGCTGATTTTTGTCCTTTTTTTAACTGTCAATTTTTTGGTTTCAATCTCAAACCAGTTCTCCTAAAGATTTCAGCATCTGCAATCATGTCTTAATGCAATTTAATACCCAACTTGCTTGACATTATTGTTTTCCCAGCTTCTGATATCAGGTTCGCTTGACAGCTTGGATGTTGATGATTTGCGGCTGAATACGAACTATGCAGGAGGCTATCATAGTGTAAGCTTTCTGGCATTTTTGTGGATTTAGTCAGTAATTCCTTAGCAAGAAACATTCTACTGATACTCAAAATGAAAAACTTTCCTATATATATATATATATATATATATATATATATATATGACTTATTTCAAACTTGTTAGAGAAATACAATACAAAACAAAACCATTAATGTGGTTTTAAGCTTTTGTGTAAAGGCCATATTAATGATTTTATATTGTATTTCTCTTATGTCCCCTCGTACAAGAGTTCATTGGACTTGATGGGTGGGAAATGCACAGATCCATCTACCTATGCCAAGAAACTCCATAATATTTAATTATTTATAAATAGCATAGGGGCGGTAAGAATCTAATTCGAGACCACTTGATCACGGGGACTTTGATATCATGTAAAGTGCTGATTCAACCCAAAAGATTAAGTTGTTAGGTGAAGGCCATATTAATGATTTTATATTTTATTTCTCTAACAATGTGTTAGAGAAGTATAAAACTATTTGCTATCCAGTCTAAATTTTTTTCTATAAAAAAAGGTATCTGTTGATCTTGCAGGTTATATTTTTTATATTTGCCATCTAGTCTAAATATCGTCTTGAGTCTGAATGTTTCATGTCATGAGAAGGGCAAGTCACCCTTTTGGTCTTGGACAGGCCTTTTTCTTATTTGACTGATGAATTCTGACATTTGATTCTTTGATAGGAGCATTATGTGATTGAGATGTTCTGGGAAGTTCTCAAAGGCTTTTCCTTGGAAAACAAGAAGAAATTTTTGAAGTAAGACATACATGGTTATGGGATTCAGTGGCTGTTTTTATGACATATCTTAGTATGAATAACAAAGTTATCATCTCTACAGGTTTGTGACAGGTTGCTCTCGGGGACCTTTGCTTGGATTCCGATATCTTGAACCTTTGTTTTGCATTCAAAGGTGAATGCTTTAGTTGTATTAAACATTCATTCAATTGTTTTCTTTTCCCCTAGTTCTTGTATATTTTATAACAGAGTGGAATTGTCTGATGTCTATTCTTGTAGGGCCGGTGGTACCGCTACTGATGAAGCTCTTGACCGACTACCTACATCAGCTACTTGTATGAATCTACTAAAGCTTCCACCTTATAGAAGGTTTGTCCTAGTGCTAGCTTGTCTTTGCAGTTTGCAGTGCAAACATGGAATTTTGTTTTTGCGTCTACCGTTGTAGAACTTAAGAGTGGTTAGAATTGAATATATTGGAAATGATAATACCGACATGAGTTACGAGAATTTCTGTTTTGTTAGTTAACAGTGTATATTTATTAAATAATCCGCAATGATTGACTAGGCTACATTGGAAACTAAAATTAATCGAGAGAACAGTGACATAGGTTGAGATTCTTTAGATGCGCCATTACACTGTCTTACTTGTAGAGATAGGAGTAAGTTTTATGACAAGTATATTAGATATCACTTGCGAATGATAATAGTTGTGCTGTGGGAACACTGAAATATTGTCTCAGTAGTTATTCTCTCTTTTTTTTTGGTTAAAAGAAACTCTTTTCCACTGATTTGCAAACTTAATAGGCAATCCGGGATGTTAATTTATGAGAGAATATTTTCTATTGAATGTAATTAATTTATGGGTTATAGACTTTTAAGGTGATCATTTAAAAAATTGACTTTGAAGATATTGTTGCTTTAGGGCTAGATATGACTCGTGACTACAGTATTTTTCAAAAAATATTCCACGTCAATTTTATTTCATACATTCTCCATGATTTCAGTATGACTATTCCCCTTGAATTTTCCTGAAGTTTTTCATTAAGATTGTGAAATCTAAGAGTTTTTGAACCACAATAACGAGAGCTATCTTTCTTAATTGTATATATATGCATCTTCATATTACCTTTATAGTTGATACTGTTGTTTGGATTTTATTTTAACTCTTTTTTTTTGGCTGTCATATTGCTTCCTACTTTCTTTGTTGAATTTACTTGCTTGTTAACTATTTTCCCTGACAAACAACATACTCATCTTCCATTGCAGTAAGGAGCAAATGGAAACCAAATTACTGTATGCCATAAATGCTGATGCTGGCTTTGATTTGAGTTGAAAGGAAAGCACTGTAATTCATCATATCTTTAGGTTTCCATTCCAGTGGAGGATGACTCTCTAATATACTATCCACAGAGCGACATAGAAGACAAAAAAATAAAAATAAAAATATCGGATGGTATATTGAGAACTGAGAATAGGAATGTCATGTATATATATTCATTTTTTATCTTGTTTGTCAATTTATGTTCAAATGTAAATATATCTAAAATATAAATTTATATAATTTACTTTTTGTAGGATTGTTTTTTGTACTGATTGTATGCTCATTAAAATAAGGGAAATAATTATCTTATGTTGCATGAGATAATTATCTCATGCAACAGAGACAAAATAGTGGAGTTCATTATTTATTTATTTTTTATTTTTGAAAAAGTAGTGTACCCCACAATTTTATTTCTGTTGCATGAAATAATTATCTCATGCAACATGAGATTAATAGATCCCTTAAAATAAATATGCAATATGATACTTTGTGATATTAATTTTGTACAGGAAGTAAATATTGCAGGAACTTATCCCCACTGCACTTAGAAAATATTATACGACTGCATGAGATTCTTCAGAAATAATGAAATTTTTAATGTTGAACAATATGAAGTTAATTTATGTTATAAATATCTGATCATAATTAGTAAATCTGCGATGAAGTTCATCAAAGAAACTGATTTTACATTCAAGAACACATTAAGACACTTCCATCTACTGGTTGAAGGGTGGTGACTATCGTTGTTCATTATGTTTATGCATAAAATTTATTTGATTCATGGTCAGAGTCTTAAATGATACATTGTATAGATAAGAAAAAGTTATAGAAGAAAATGATAGTTACACTTTACGAGACCTGTTTAATCATTTAACAAATTAATTAATCACTTGCTAAAATCGCGAATTTTTTTACCGGTCTCTTCATTGGTCACATGGAGGTACGGTTAATTAACTACTTCAGTGAATGATTAGACATGCATAATTAAGGATTTGTTTTATGTTTCTTATTAACATCATAATATTATGCTATAAAAGAAAAAAAAGAATAAAATTTATGTGTTTTACATAAATAATTATGGGTCTTACTGTAGATTTTTTTTTATATTTTTCTCTCCTTATTATATTAATAGCATGAGGTTATTTAAATATAATAATTAAGCAATTGAATTAGTTTGAGAGTTGGTCAAATGTGATTATGAAAAGATTATCCTTAATAATTTCATTAATTACTTAGTTGGCTGTTACAAAGAGAGAGACCGCTTCATGTCATGGAGGGTAAAATTTGCATTTTTCTCTCTCTTTCGTGTTCACATAGTGAGAATATTTGAGATTCAATTTTAAATATTATAAATTTATAATGCCATAGATTGTAAAATAAAATATCATTAAAATATTCAAGAACAGTTTGTCAAGTTATTTTTTAAGAGATTATTTAATTTTTAATTTATTATATAAATCAGTTGACATTATCCGTAATATAGAGTCGAATTGTAATAGCACATTTTGATTCCAATTCTTTCCGCTTATTACTAGTCAAAATTCTCACAAATGTCAAGTCGTACACCTTAAAAACAAACAATTAGAGTGGAAGGATCCTCCGTAGTATAATCTTTAGCAGGTATTTAAAGTCTTAATTATGAATTTATTCCGAATAGAATTATCTTCTATAAAGAATATTTATAATTTAAAAAAAAAACACCATGCGTATCTTAATGATAACAGCGGGACCTTCTCTTCTATATGCATAACAAGTTTATTTATAATATTCATAGTCAAAGCATCATTTTTCCTTGATGCTCAAGGTATTAGTTACATAGTTCAGGAACTAAATTAAAATCGAATATGACTTTCTCTTCTATATGCATAACAAGTTCATTTATTATAATATTCATAGTAATAGCATCATTTTTCCTTGATGCTCAAGGTATAAGCTACCTATAGATAGGGGCAATATATATAAAGTTTTATAAGAGTTATGTTGTAGAAAAAGTGATTATGTTATGGTATAGAGATTCGTTTTGCGTACCTTAGTTTTTTTTTTTTAAAAGATGCGAACCCCACGGAATATTGTTTGTGTAGGAAATTTTTTGTGATTATGTTAAATAATAAATATAAATCCCATATATATACTTATCGTAAAAAAATATTTATCAGTTTTATAATTAATCTAATTATTATTAATTTTCATTCATCTAACGGTTATAATTTAATAAAAATTAACCAGTAATTAATAAATACAACCAATAATATCTAATTAATATATATATATCTAGATAGAGAGAGAGAGAGGTTCGCTTCTTCTTCTTCTCTTGCATTTTTTGAAATTCGAAGCCTACCTTCTCGTTCTTTACCATCTACACACTATAATACCAAAGCAGTGATAATCATCTATACCTACACGAAACCCTAACAGTAACAGGTTCAGTACACAAAGAGAGCGATGGTGAAGGTGCGTATGAACACCGCCGATGTGGCCGCCGAGGTTAAATGCCTCCGTAGGTTAATCGGAATGCGATGCTCCAACGTCTATGATCTCTCTCCAAAGGTAATTTTTTTATTTTCTTCATTCATCGCCAATCCAATCACTATTCCAATCCAATTCATTTTCTCCTTTCTTCTTTTTTGCAGACATATGTTTTCAAGCTCATGAACAGTAGTGGAGTCTCCGAATCCGGTGAGAGCGAGAAGGTTCTGCTGCTCATGGAAAGTGGTGTCAGATTGCATACTACTGTCTATATGCGGTAATTCTATCATAATTTCCACGAATTTATGTTTTCTTTGAAATGAACTTTATCATGTGATGGAATAGAAATATAGATTTTACAACACGATTGTTTGCATTGTTTATAGTGACAAAAGCAATACTCCTTCTGGTTTTACTCTCAAATTGAGGAAGCATATTCGAACTAGAAGGCTTGAGGATGTGCGCCAACTTGGGTATGATCGGGTATAGCCTTCCCTGCATCGTCTTTCATTTTACACATTATTCTCTTTCACTTACAATCTTCTTTTCTTTTTCCTTTTTAATTGTAAAAAAAATCTTTTAATTTTTTTTTCCATAAACCATGGCAGATTATTCTCTTTCAATTTGGTTTGGGGGAGAATGCAAACTATGTTATATTGGAGCTATATGCCCAGGGCAATATCCTCCTCACAGATTCTAATCTTACTGTCATGACTCTACTTCGATCTCACAGGTTAGTACTATTTTCTGTTGTGCTGTCTATTTCTAATTTCTTGTCTATATATGTAAATATAAAAGATATACACACAATTGAAAATTTGCATGCAGGTAGCATATATTTTCACTTGCTTAACAATAAAAAACCACTCCCCGTTAAATCCGACTTGCGAGTGTGGGGTGGTCCGGGTGGAAGCAATCTTTGTACGCAGCTTTATCCTGGCATAATTGCAAATATGCTATTTCCTGGATTCGAACTCACGACCTTTCAGTCATGAAAGAAAAGTTGTCACTTGCTTAACAATGATAGGAATTTTTTTTATTTTTTGATAAAAGAAGAATTTTAAGAGAGAAAATAAGTATAGTTATGGAGGATTGGGAAACTGTCATATTGATTTCATGTATAGAACATTCTGGAGTGGAAGATTTTTTTATGTCATGCCCAATCAAGCTAATTGGCATACTAGACCTTGCTTTTCAAAATGGGACCATTTAACATTGTTTTACTTTTATTTCACAATGCATTTGCTTGTACTTATTTATTTATATTCTGGGAGCTCGAGTCATCTTATAATTTAATTTATCTATTGGAATTTTCAAAAGCGTCTCTATGATAAGTGGAATGATAGCAATTCATCAATTACAGGGATGATGATAAAGGGCTTGCAATCATGTCACGCCATCGCTATCCTACTGAGAGTTGCCGAGTTTTTGAGCGAACTACTACTGCAAAGTTGCAGACAGCCCTAATGTCTTCTAAGGAAGATGATAATGTTGAAGCTGTTAAGGTCAATGGAAATGGAACTGATGTTTCTAATGTAGCAAAAGAGAAGCAGGGAGCCCGCAAAGGTGTGAAGTCATCTGCCACATTGAAAATTGTCCTTGGGGAAGCACTCGGTTATGGACCTGCACTTTCTGAACATATAATATTAGATGCTGGCCTAATCCCCAGTACAAAAGTTCCTAAAGATAAAATGTGGGATGATGCTATTGTTCAGGCTTTGCTCCAAGCTGTTGCGAAGTTTGAAGATTGGATGCAGGATATTATTTCAGGTGAAATAGTTCCTGAAGGATATATTTTGATGCAGAACAAAAATTTGGCGAAGGATTCTTCTATGTCTCAACCAGGAAGTGTTAGTCAGGTTATATTCTTCATTTTTATTGGCATCATGAATATGGAAGAGAATAAGGGACAAATTTGCTTGCCCAAATGGTTTTGTGGTATTCGGTGTTTACATACCTGTATCTTATGATGCAGATGTATGATGAGTTCTGCCCCATCTTGCTCAACCAGTTTAAGTCAAGGGATTATACAAAGTATGAGACTTTTGATGCAGCCTTGGATGAGTTCTATAGCAAAATTGAGAGTCAAAGGGCCGAACAACAGCAGAAAGCCAAAGAAAACTCAGCCACTCAGAAGCTTAATAAGATACGCCAGGATCAGGTTTGTGCCCATGCCCAAGCTACAACACTTGTATGACTGGAAAATCAGCTGAACCATGTGACTCACAATAGTTCAGGCTGGAATATCTCGTTCTGGCTCATACTTGGGTGAATTTGTTATCTTCTTTTTTTCTTTTTCATTTACATGTCACCATTTTGTATGTTGTCTCACTGCATTTTCTGTCTAATAACATCATGTTCTTGTTTGGCTTTTTCATTCAAGCTGTTGATGATTTGTGTGTGTATACTTCAAATTTGGCGTCTTTCATTACTAAACTTACTTTTATAGAATCATCTCAAGATTGTAATAGTAGTGTCTAATTTGCAAACTTCAAATGTCTATGGGTTTCAGTTGTCTGTTGCAATGAAACAATAGAGAACTTGTTTAAATTTGGCATTAATTTGAAGAAGGGAGAGAATTTATGTTCATGATGATTTGCGCACTCAAAATTTGTTTATGAATTATCTCCACAAACAAGTTCTTGTTGCTTTTCAATTCAAAGTCACTTGCACCAGAATATGATTTTGATAGTTTTGGCATTTGGATAGTAGTATCTGTCTATTAAATCTTTCCGTTTGAATATGCATTATTGTTGTAAATATCTGTAATTAGTGTATATCCTTGATTTCCTTATTTCTAGAATTTCGGTTCATTCCCTCTTCAACCCATTGGGCCCGTAGATTCTCTATATATATATATTGTACCCCCATTGTATATGTTCTTTTGAGAAAGAAATAATATTTCAGCTCTCCTTCCAAGTATTATTATTAGGTTACAGCTAGAAAAGCCAAGTGTACATTATGTAATAAAGTTCTTGTAAAAGTTACCAATGATTTAGTTCCAAAGTTGGTGGGCAGTCAAACTTGTCAAACATCATACTTACCATTGTTCTTGTTTGAACTATATCCTTGATGCATTTGGTGTCAAATCCCTCATTGACCACAGAACGTGGATATGAAAAGTGTAGTTTTACAAGAGTTCAGTTTCTCAGCCAAAAGGCTTAGTAGTTGTATCTTCTGAAGCACACATTATATCTATCCTTCCATATTGCTAAATATAGAGTTTTGGACTGCTTGAAATTATAATTTTCTTGATACAGGGAACAGGAAAAAAAATTCCTTATTCTATTTCAGATTCATTAAAGAACTTAATCTTAAGTGGATGTATACATGCTACAATCTTTGAATTATAACAAGAGAAATGCTATCAACACACTCTTTGACCCTCTCCTTTTAACACTATTATTGGGTGAAACCTCATGCTGGTCCTACTAATAGAGAGAGGGCCCATGTTATTTAGTCAGTCCAATATTAGATTTCACCCAATAATTAATAGAGAGATGAAAAGTGTGTCAAAGGGTGTGTTGCTATCATTTTCATTTATGATTGAATATAGTAACATGGGAAACAAGTATAACATCGAATATATATTTGGAACACCTAATACTCAACATTAATAATTGTCTGGATGTATGAAAGTTCATGTTTTTGTTATTGTGGGCAAGAGGGTGTAGTTATGATGTAAAACATTCTGACAGATTCGTTCGCTAGATGAATTGGAATCTTCATTCAAATTATATTCATATCCTGCTTGTCATTAGGATCTCGTAATACACACACGGACTTACCTTAAGTATTCATATGAAGTTGAGAAAACTCATTTTTTTCCATTATTGTTGATAGTTGATACTTGATAGTGCTCACATGTTGTATCTCATTTCTGTATTGTAGGAAAATCGAGTGCATACTTTGAGGAAAGAAGCCGATCTCTGTGTTAAAATGGCAGAATTGATAGAATACAACTTAGAAGATGTGGATGCTGCTATATTAGCTGTTCGTGTAGCTCTTGCAAAGGGTATGAACTGGGATGACCTTGCTAGGATGGTAAAGGAAGAAAAGAAAGCTGGAAACCCAGTAGCCGGTCTCATTGACAAGCTCCATCTTGAGAAGAACTGCATGACTTTACTGTTATGCAACAATCTTGATGAAATGGATGATGATGAGAAGACACTCCCAGTGGATAAGGTTTTAATTTATTTATTGCATAAAAGAAGAAATTCATTAAGACAAATAAAAAAATTACAAAGAGAAGGGAGAAAACCAGATATGGTTATATTATTTTTCACTAAACAAAGGAAACAAAAAATTTGACTGGAGAAACATATCATTGATATGCTTTCTATTACCTTATATCCCATTCTTATAGGTTGGTGTAAGTCAATAAGTCAGTATTATCAATTTTTCCATTTTTTATTTTGTCATTTTCACTATCATCACTGATTTTATTTATATTTTCTTAAATATGTGGATTTTTAACGTTTTACCCCTTGGATGTATAACATTAGTAACCATAGTTGTTTATGTTCAAGGTTGAAGTTGATTTAGCTCTCTCAGCACATGCCAATGCTCGGAGGTGGTATGAACTAAAGAAAAAGCAGGAAAACAAACAGGAAAAAACTATGACTGCCCATGAAAAGGCATTTAAAGCTGCAGAGAAAAAGACTCGCCTACAGCTTAATCAGGTGGTTAAAAATTGTATTTACAGATCTTTAATCTAATGTGCAAATTTATATGTAGTTATTGGATTGCTATGTGGTCCGTGATTATGGGAAGAAACAGAAAGTTCTGCAGAATTCATCTCATTCCAACTTCTGAGAAGTTTATTGGGTCATGACCATGTTATATCTATGGAGATCTTGTACAGTATAAATTGGTTACTTGATGGGATTTCCATTTGTGATAGGGCATATAAGTTTCAATTGAAGTTGTGCTGAAAGATAATGTTACCAGATGATAATAGTTTTCTGGAATTCCTCTCATTCTTCATCACCTTTTTTTCTCCTATTTTTGTTTTTCTGTCTTTTTCTAGGAGGATTTCTTATCCTCTGCTCCTGTACTTTTTTCTTTCTCGACTCTAATGAAGTTATTTCCTTAAACAAGTCCTCTATGTTGTGATTTTTCTTTATTTTTAATGAAAGTTACCCCATGCTGTGGTTTTGGGATAAAATATGTCCTTTTGGCCTCTCTATGGTATTTGGCCAGAGGTTATTTTCTAGGGGTTCCGTTGTGCTTTCCTTCTTTGGTCGTTTCTTGTTATCTTTGGAGAGTGCCTCATTCTTAATCTTAACACTTTCTTCTTCTCTCCCAAAAAGAAACTAATGATAGGCTTTTAGCACTGAATGTATAAATGTAGAACATTGGGACATGCAAGTTATCAGTTTGATTTTTTCGTTCTTGATTGCTTGAAATGACTGCTAATTTGTTATATTTACTTTACTCATTTTGCAACAAATTTATTTCCAGGAAAAAACTGTTGCCACAATTTCACATATGCGCAAAGTTCACTGGTTTGAGAAATTTAATTGGTTCATTAGCAGTGAGAACTATTTGGTTATCAGTGGACGTGATGCACAGCAAAATGAGATGATAGTGAAGCGATATATGTCAAAAGGAGATTTGTGAGTATTTCTTGTTGTGTTACACTAGCCTAGCTCCCAAGGCTAAAGCTTAAACATTGACAAAAAATGGTTATTGAGTACTGATGAAAGTAATATTAATTTGATTCAGATGCTCTCTTCTTTTGAATGAGTAATACTTTGACTTTTAAAATGTCTTCAGATCCTTTGAAGAATATGTTAATGTATATGTCTTTGTAAAATAACTTAATATTTAATAAAAAATTGCTGTGTACATGATTATGAAAAAATTGAGTATATCTTCAATGTCGCAGATCCTCACGAGTGTTGCAAAATGATGGAACCCCAATCAATTAACGGCAAAAATAACAACAAATACAGTAAAAGAACACTTCGATTCACTACTGGACAGTACGTTGGAGATAACTCCTTGACAATAACATCAGCAACAACAGAGAAACAGAGCTTCATCAGCCATACAGACTCCCCTACGGGACATTTACGATAGTAAATAACAATGCAGAAAAAGATAACCTAAAGATCTCAACTCACCCTCAAAGCCAAAGACCTAGGCCTCAAGAGATCCCTAGAGATCCTTTCCTAATTCCTAATTCCCAATTTCCATGTCACAGAATACATGCATACCTCACACTCCCACACTCCCCTCCATATATCCTATTATTTGAGAATATTCTAGAATAACTCTCTACTAACTAACTAATTATCTCAAGCCCATCTCTAAATATCTCAGCCCATCACAAACAAAATGGAGAAAATTATGAGAAACTTCCTTTTGTCAGGAGTAGGAATACCAATAGGGAACTAGGGACCATCTTGCTAGTTGGGAACTTTGTTGCTAGCTGGTGAAGGAAAAAGTTTTGTGGGGCAGGGGTCAAGTCTTGGAAATTTAGTGTCTAGAAATATTCCCTTAACTACCACGAGGTTATGTTGGTTTCGTCTGGAATCAACTTCTTTCATCAAGTTATTCCATGAAAATATGGTTTCATCTGAATGGTAGGATCATAGGATGTGAGGGCTGTAGACAATGCAACTTAAAGTTCTTGGAAATTTATCTCATGGTTATACTACTTTTTTTTGCTTGATGTCTTTGAGATTTGAGGTTGGCTTTCTATCCGATTTGGGAGGATTTGTGGTTGGAGATTGTTGAGATATATAAAACCATTAATGTAGCCTCACCTATCAGCTTAAGCTTTTGGGTTGAATTGGTTCTTTACATGGTATCAGAGCCTCGTGTCCCGGGTTCGATCCTCACCGCCCCCCACTTTCTCATGTGGAATTTCTTAGCATAGGTATGTGGGTCTGTGCATTGTCCACCCTTCAAGTCCAGTGGGCTCTCTCGTGTGAGGGGGCTTGTTGAGATATATAAAACCATTAATGTAGCCTCACCTATCAGCTTAAGCTTTTGGGTTGAATTGGTTCTTTACAGAGATAATCCTTTTATTTTCCTCTTCTTTATTGTCTTTCCCGATTGCATCATCAACCCGCCCATTAGCAGCTTCTATTCCTTCCGAATTCAATTGTCCATTTATTTTTTTTCCCTGAAACCTCAATGATAGAAAAACAAAACTTTGGACTTTGATGTGCTTTCTCGTTTACTTGTCTCTGTTCATCCCTCTTCTTCACAAGATCAGAGGATTTTGTCTCAAGACTCCCCTGGAGACTGGATTCTAAATTTAAATCTTGCTTCCAATGCATCCCCAGTATCCAAACAAGGAAAGCCGCCTTCTAGCTAACTCCCTTTGGAAATCTAAGGCCCCTTTGATGGTGCAGTCTTTCATTTGGATTTCTGTGCTTAATAGGACTAATATTAAATACATGTTTGCAAGCCCCACAAAGTTCTCTCTCCTAATGCCTGTGATGTGTTTGTCAGTCTGACACTAGCAAACATTTATTTCTGCATTGTCCAGCTGCTAGATATTTTTGGTGTATAATTTTTGGTGAATGAGGGTTTGTCCAAAGAGTCTGAAGCATTCTCTCTTCTGTCATATTAGAGGTTTTTTAAGAGATTATAAGGAGTGCAATGCCCTTTGGCATTGTGCCATGTTTGCTGCTATTTGGTGCCTACGGCTGAAAAGGAACTCATGAATTTTTCAAGGACAGCTATTTGCATGGCATCTTTTATGGGATAAAGTGGTTTCCCTAGCTTCTTTGTCTTTCTTAACTAAGAGCTACTTTAGATGAGTGCCTTTGGAAGATATGCTAAGAGATTGGCGAGTGCTACTTGGACTTTTTTTTCCCTTTTAGGAAGATATCTTATCCTCTGCTCCTTTACTCTTCTCTTTGTATTCTCAAATAAAATATTTCTTCTTTTATTAAAAAGAAAGAATTTGTATATATATTTTTAATTGTAAAATTGATTTACATAATATATGTATGCATGCTTCTCTGTGGAAGATGCCTCATACCTCCACTTTTGGCCCACAAAATATGCTAGTTTTCTTCATTTGCACCTTATACTTCAGCACGATCTCTTTCCCCTTTTCTCAGGAGTCCTCTTTCTTCCTTCGTTAGACATGTAGTCAACATATCACTTGATACTACTGGTATTTATGATGTCTTGTTTGTCATGTTCACTTCATCTCGGTAATTCAAATTAATTTTACTGATTCATTTCTAATCTATAAACTAAATATGTATTCTCAGCTGCAATTTAAAGTGCATGGAACATCTGTAATAACTAATCAAAAATCAAAATAATTATGCACTACTTTGAAATGTCCAATTTTTTTTTTCTATTTTGATTTATGATTTGATTTCTGATTCTCTCATTCTGTTGATTTGATTATGTAATAGGTATGTACATGCCGATCTCCATGGAGCTTCTAGTACGGTTATCAAGAATCACAAGCCAGTGCAACCAGTTCCGCCTCTGACCCTAAACCAAGCAGGATGTTTCACAGTATGTTTAAGACCTGCCCATACTATGTTCCGTCTGTATTTACTTTATTTGGTTAACTTCATGTTTCATGAACTTAATCAATTTTTAGCCATTACCACCTCCGTATTATTTTGGAATGTAGGTCTGCCACAGCCAGGCATGGGATTCGAAAATTGTTACTAGTGCCTGGTGGGTTTATCCTCATCAGGTTAGTAAAACTGCTCCTACAGGGGAATATCTGACAGTAGGGAGCTTCATGATCCGGGGAAAGAAAAATTTTCTTCCACCGCACCCTCTTATCATGGGTTTTGCCCTGCTATTTCGCTTGGATGAGAGTTCCTTGGGATCACATTTAAATGAAAGGAGAGTAAGAGGAGAGGAGGAAACAATAGATGATTATGAAGAAACTGGCCCTCTTGAAGAAAAATCTGATTCAGAGTCTGAGGAGGATGTGACTGATGGAAAATCTGCTGCTGACTCAGAAAGGAATGGTAATTTATCCGCAGATTCACATAAACCCCTATCAGAAGACTTTCCAACAGACTCATCTCAAACTAGTTTGGCTACTAATACTATCAATGCAGAAAATACAGTTTCAAATGATTTTCCTGCAAAAGAGACAAGTATAACGAATATGGTTGATGAGGAGAAATTATCTGACATTAATGGAAATGGCTTATCATCCGTCACTCCTCAACTTGAGGAACTTCTTGATCGAGCTCTTGGACTAGGATCTGTTGCTAAATCAAGTAAAAATTATGGAGTTGATGATCCTCAGACTGATTTAGGCAGTGAGCACCATTTTGAACAGAGCAAAGCTGCAGGAAGGGATAAACCTTATATATCAAAAGCTGAGAGAAGAAAGCTTAAAAAAGAACAGAAACATGGAGAAGCCGATTCAAATGTTGAACATGGAAAGGACGAATCAAAATTAACAGATATTTCTGCAAATCTACATGCAAAAGAAGTCCAAAATTTGAAGACAGATGGTGGTCAAAAAATCAGTCGTGGACAGAAGGGAAAACTTAAGAAGATAAAGGAGAAGTATGCTGACCAGGATGAGGAAGAAAGGAGCATCCGAATGGCATTATTGGCTGTGAGTTCAGTAGTTTGCTCGTCCTTTCATTTTTATCCATGGGAAAAATTGTTTTATTTTTTTGCCTTTAATCAGAATACATCCTTGCGTCTTTGTTTCTAAATTGAATGTACCATGTATCTGGGATGCATATCTCATACCTGCTAAGATGAGTCTACAAATGTTAAATTTAATTATTGCTGTAATTTTTCCCTAAAAATATCTTTTAAAAAATCAGGATAGGAGAAAGTATATAAGAAATCACATCACGGATGTTAGAGATATAATATAAAACCATTCAAGCGTCTTCACTTAATAGCTTAAACTTTTGGAATAGTTGATTCATGATATGGTATTAGAGCCTCTAAGTGGTCTAAAATTTGATCTTTGCTGCCCCCATTCTTCTAATAAAAAGTTAAATTTCAGCCCAAGATAGATGGACCTGAGCATTGTCTAATCATGCTTCAAGCCCAAAATCTCTTGCTTGAAGGGATGCGTTAGATATATATCATTATACCATTTATGTTTCTTTGTGTAATAGTTTAAGCTTTTGGGATAATTGGTTCATGACAATGGACATTCTCTGGAACTTATTACTGCCTCCAAGTAAATCTTGCATCTTTCTGATTTCCCCGGGTAAAATTCCATCATGATTCAACTCTAAAGCTGGTTTTTTGTGTGTATTTGTAGTCTTCTGGAAAATCAATCAAGAAGGAAGAGACATCAGCTGGAAATGAAACATCGGACAAAGGGAAAAAACCTGGCAATGGTAAGCCTTTTTAAGTTTCATCAACCATTATTGCTGAAAATGAGCTGTGAGCCAAGCTGAGTCTCAGTTTGGTTAAACTTGGGTTGCCTTAACGTTCAGCATGAACTTTATATACACCAATATGTGTGGATCGAGCTTGGCTTAAATAAAGCTTGTGAACTGTTCTGATTGGCCTTAGCTTGAATCATTTAGCTAAATGAGCCGATTTGGGTTGAGCTGGCTCATGAACTTTTTGATAGGTTCATTCTCATACATATTATACTATATATTACTTTGTCCATGGTAATATATATTAATTTGTAATATATATTTTTATTTAATACATATTTTTGAGTTGACTGACTGAGTTTATGAACCAAACAAGTCAACAATGTCATGAGACAAGCTTTTGGGAAATTCTTTAGGTCAAGTTTCACTATTTGGTCCACGAACCAAACTCTGAGCCAACTAAAGAGTTGAGTAGTGACCGAGCTTGGTTTATTGCCCTCTCATCTAGTGGTGGACATGTTTTATAATTCAATATATTACTACCTCATCTGATTACTGAGATTTAGACTTTGCTCTAAATTAGAGAGAAAACATATTGATGTGCCAATTATTGAAGTTGTTTGATTTGTTACCTTGTTTATAGTATTATAATGTTGATTGTGCTAGGTCCTGTAGAAGCTCCAAAAATATGTTACAAGTGTAAGAAGGCGGGTCACTTATCTCGGGATTGTAAGGAGCAACCAGATGATCTGTTGCATAGTCATGCAATTGGTGAAACTGAAGAAAATCCCAACATGAGTGCTATTAACACTTCCCAAGCAGATAGGGTGGCAATGGAAGAAGACGATATTCATGAAATAGGAGAAGATGAGAAAGAAAAATTAAATGATGTGGATTACTTGACAGGAAATCCACTCCCTAATGACATTCTCTTGTATGCTGTTCCTGTCTGTGGTCCTTACAATGCAGTTCAGTCTTACAAATATCGGGTGAAGATAATTCCTGGATCGGCAAAGAAAGGGAAAGGTTATTTTTTTTATTATTTAACTTTACATTAGCAGTTTAACCATGTTCCTCCTTAAAAATTTTGTTTGTTATGGCCAGGTAGAAGGAAGTTTTAAAACTATTTTCTAGCACGTGTTTTTGTTCCTTCATAATTGATGAGTAGTATCTTTATTTGGCGCTTTGATGCATGTTATGGCATTGCTTAGGGTCTAGGATACTTGTGCTCTTTCCCCCTGGGCCCTGCAATATATGCTCTAGTTTATGAATTATGAAATGCCCAAGTTAACGCATCTTATTTCAAGATTTTGTCATAATTTTTTCCCCCTTTTTATTGTTTAGCTGCAAAAACTGCAATGAACTTATTCAGCCACATGTCAGAAGCAACAAACCGGGAGAAGGAGTTAATGAAAGCCTGTACAGATCCTGAGCTAGTTGCTTCAATTATTGGTAATGTTAAGATATCAGCAGCTGGCCTTACTCAATTGAAGCAAAAGCAAAAGAAAGGCAAGAAGAGCAGCAAACAAGTGGGTTAGCCCAACCCTGTGTAGCATTTACTTAGGTGAAGAAAAGGCTCTTTTTTTCCCTCTCTTTAGAGCTGACAAATTTGTATATCTTTACAAGTTCCTAAATGTAGAGAAGTTTTTCTCAATGTAGAAGTGTACGAAAATTTTGGGCATGTTTGATTTTATTTTTGTTTTCTTTCTCCCTTTTTTTTGGTGCAAAAGTGAAATTATGATTTAAGTTAAGGGAAAAGTTTAAAAAAACCCTTATGGTTTCACTTAGAATCAATTACCCCCCTGTGGTTTTTTTATCACTTATCTCCCTACGGTGTTTTTCATCCAAGTCCATTGGTAACTGTTAAGAACCTTGAGGTCATCACCCCAAAAGCTAGCTCAAAGGGTGGGAGTGCTCAAGACCTTATAAACTGCACATTTATATATCTCAACATGCCCCCTCACACGAGAGTCCATTGGGCTTGAAGAGTGGACAATGCAACAGGCTCAGCCTACCTGTCCTAAGAAACGCCACAAGAGAAAGTGGGGGGCGGCGAGGCTTTGATACCATGTTAAGAACCTTGAGGTCACCACCCCAAAAGCTAGCTCAAAGGGTGGGAGTGCTCAAGACCTTATCAACTGCACGTTTATATATCTCAACAACAAAAAATGTCCATTTTGCTCTTAACAACTTGGCTTGCTACCTCAGACATCACCTGCTACAATTTCCATTATTATATCGAGAATTTGTCTCAAATCTAAATTATGCAGATACTTGTGTAACTTTGTATAGCAATAGAAAATAAAATCCTGTACCAAAAAAAAAAAAAAAAATCACCTTAGCATCTGTGTTGAATCCCTTGAATTTCATTTGAACATATCCATTTACTCCAATTAGAGGAATCAAGATTTATAACAGTGTGCTCCAATTTCTCCACTGCAGTAAGCCATGTGCATTTTTGTGCTATTTAGCACCATCAGGTTTCTGACTTTCTTCTTGCATGCTCCTATTTCTTGCCAAGGGACATTTTGAAGTCACTTTTAGTGCATCTGACATATTATTGACTTTCAAGGACACATTGAAGTAAAGATCTCCACTTTCCAGATTGAAATACATTTGTGGAGTTGATCTTGCAAGATCTGGGTCACCATTCCTGTCCCGTTTCATTAATTCTTCCCCTACCATCTACCTTTCTACAGGAAGGTGATTCACCTCATGGAAGTAAAGCTATTTGCATAGACTTAAATCATGGTGTACAGGTTTTTTTGTTGCACCTATTGTACTTAAGATCTGTCATATATTTAACAACAATCAATAAAACAAAATAAACATTTCCCTTAAAGACATCACCAGTGAACTGGAAGAGCAGATGATAAAAGATTTATAAAATTAATTGAGTCATTTGATGACTCTTAGTTCATATTGTCAGAGATCCACAATGCTACTCAGAAACCAAAACACTTTGCCGACAGAATTTATAAATTTTCCTAATTTATTGGTAGGAACTAAGAATAATTGATTAACCAGTACAAGAACTCAGCAAACCCAGAATCAGAATAAAATAAGAAACCTTGAATTTAAACATAAAATTTCAGTTGTTATTCCATCTCATGTCAATATCCATATTAGTATTAAGAGCCCGTTTAAATAAAAACAAGTTTTGGCAGATGATTTGAAGGTAATGTTGGTTAAAATCTATTTTTATTAACATGGTAATTATAAGAAGGGCAACATGGACATATTTTTTAAACTTATAACCGTGTTAGGAATAGACTCGGATGATGGGGAAAAAAAAATCAAAGGAAAATTTATAAACTTTTCCCTTAAATTAATTAATGTACATGCATCGTTACCTTCTATCCCTATCCTATGTGAAATATATACTGGATAAACATATATATTGTACAAACTACGTAGTAGCGTCGTTTTGCTCTTGTACTGTGAGAGACTCGATCAAAGGACATGAAACCAATGTACAGTTTCCTCGTTAGCAATCAAACATTGAGAATAAACAACGTAGCGTACCTCACCTATTGCTAGTTGTACGCTTTCTCTCTAAACATATTCGTAAGAACTTGTAAATGATTATTGTCCTGAACTGCTAATGCAGCATACACTCCTTATTGAAGAGTTCTACTTGCCTTAACTACATTAATGAATGGCTGAAAAGAATCATTATATAGAAAACTGAAAAGAAGTCAGCATTGCAGGAGTGTGTGGGGGTAGTTTGCTCAAATAGGTACAGAATAATGAATTTGTTCATTTTTATGCTGTCGGTAAGATGAATATCAAACAAAAGAAAGCATTAGGTTTATCATTCTACAACAATATTTAAAGTAAGGTGTAAAAAAAAGGGGGCAGGGGAGGGTGTGGGGGGAGTAGAGGCCTCTCAATTCTCAATCATGAATCTTCAGCTGGGGGTACCTCACTCAGATCCAGTCCCTCTGCAGGCAAGTCTGAACCAAGTGGTCCTAGGATCCCATCACTGCTGAGAGTTAATCCACTCTGTAAATGAAAGGGTAAGGGTGAAATAGATTCATCAAATGAACAAATAATATATCTCTAAGGATACATGAATCCTATAAGGTGATCCAAGAAAAATATCCAACCCAGCTGTAAATAGTTGGAAGTAAGAATATATTTATATATCTCAACTCAGCAAAAAGAATCAAGTGTCTGAAATGCCAAATCCACTTGTATCCTGACTGGACTGAAATGCACATAAATTTTTTCATGTCCTCTTCTAAAAAAGGTCCATCAAAATCATTTAACCTTATCATTTCAGAAGCTCTAATACTATTTTTCAGCAGCAGCAAGAACTGACTTTTTTATGCTATTTGTATTTTAGAGTCCGTTTAAATGGACTTTTTATTTTTTATTTTTTCAAAATGACTTTTTTAAAAGCCAAAGCTATTTCTAATTTGGATCAATATCTAAAAAGTACTTTTAAGGGAGGAAAAACAGTATTCTGACTTTTTTCAAAAACCATAAATCTTAAGCTTTTAAAAAAACACCATTTTAGCTTCTTCTTTCTTTCACTTTTGTTTTTTTTTTCCAAAAGTTGCATTGAAATACACACATAAAGTGAAAAGCACTTTTATTTTGAAACAAAAAACAGCTTTGTGGGAAAAAAAAATCATCCAAACAATCCCTTTGATCCCTTGCTCCACTGCTTCAATTTCATTGAGTTAAGAATTTTGAACAAATAATTAACAAATAAATACCTCTGGCTGGAACCTAAGCATATCAGCACGAGCCATAGCTTCTGCTTGGGCAATTCTCTGTCTGAATGTTTGAGCCATCTCCTCCGCCTATAAGACCATATTAAGAATTACAAGTGTCCATTCTCTTTCAAAAATGACAATGCTTATGAAAACGATTTTAAGTATATGATTCATCAAAGAAAGGATGAGATGGAAAGAACAAAAAGGAACTCAGTATTTTGGCTTCTTCTAGGATATCAATCTAGAAGCAGAAAAGCAGGAAGTCGAAGTAACCCTTGACTAATGAACCACTGATATTCTACAAAAGTAGTTTACATACGCAGCAAGCAAAATATTTGAGATCCTTTCTTTGAATTATACCTTCTCAAAGACGAGGTCTGGATTGCGAATCATGTCTCCAGGTGTGGGTTCCAACTTCTTTGTGGAAAGACTTACCCGGCCTCTCTCCCGATCATGACTTAAGATCATCACCTAATCAAAGAATAAATGAGAATTTTATGACCACGTGGAACCTGTAATTCTAAGAAAATATTCACGTAGCTTATTTTAGGTTTACCTTCAGAGTATCACCAGGTTGAAGAACAGTTGCAATATCAGTTATACGATCATGACTAATCTGACTGACATGAAGGAGACCACTGATTCCACCAATGTCAATGAAGGCGCCATATGGCTTTAAGCTTTGAACAGTGCCAGTGACTACTGATCCAATTCCTAGCTGTCCCTGGCTATCAGCCACAGCTTTGCGGTGACTGAGGATAAGTCTGGACTGTTCCTCATCCACCTCTACAAATTTTAGAGGAATCTCCTTCTCAAGAAGTTCTTCTCCATTTGATTTCTAAGAAGATCATAGGTGACAGGGAGAGAGTTTGAGTTGGTGGCTAAAAGTATAATTCTTAGAAGGGGAAAGATGAAAGATAGATATGTACGTAAAAAGAAAATTTCTATTTACCCAGAATAATCTACACTAGAACTTGTTGAAGCATACAAGTTCTATTAATAAAGTTGCATGACCCAATTTCAACACTGAAATTGAATAGTGGAAGATTGATATTTACAAGTTTGAGCCACCACTACTTGTCAAAGACTTATTATGGATTTGTCATTCTCCATATTGTTGCATGGTATGTTGCATCAAAGCTTTGAGATTTGTATTCCTTGGTAAAACATACAATTAGGCCACACTCATCTGATTTTGATTCCCACAATAAGCCCTCATACTTTTTTAATTGGCCATAAGTTGAATTCTTGCCAAATGGCAAGTTTGAATCTGATGCATACAAGTCCATAAATGTCAAAGTAGGTCAAGAGCTAACCGTTGCTGATATCTGTGAGAATGGAACAAACCCCTTAAGGCCTTCCACTTCAGCCACCAGACCACCTTTGTTTGCATTAAAAATCTGCCACGCAAAGTGCATATGTGAGGAGAGAGAGAAGGAGATAGATAGGGAGATGAACCGGTCTATGTAATTAAAGATCAAATAAACCAACTCAGAAAGGTAATAAGAACAGTTTTTCTTATGCTTCACTTTGTAATCTTTACTTGACAGAAATTACTAGAAATTAATGTCATAATTATTTGGATTCTAAATCAACACAAATATACTAAATCCTTACTGAAATAGAATTTCTCGGTATGCCAAACCCACCTTACCCTTGACAACAGCATCTTCTGCTTGAAGCTGTCTACAGCGTTCCCACGCAAGATCATACTGGATAGACTTCAAACTCAAGTACAAGCTATCATCACCTTCATTTTCAGCAATGATTATGAATTCCTCTCTCACGCCAGGAATTATGCCTGCTTCTTCTACATGCTTAATTTTATGGATGCATGCCTCTTGCAGGGGCAAGTATGCCGAGGACTTTGCAGTAATGTCAACATAAGCACCACCTGCATCTGTGCCAAATACAGTGCCCTTAACCTGAAACATAACCACCAACCATCACCAATCTATTCAGATTACCTCTGAGAACTATTCCAATACAAAAAATGAAAAAGGAGTAAAACGTACTAGCTCTAAACTACAAGCACCTTTTTTGTATTTTCTTCATATACACAACAAATTAACAATTGCCACAGACAAATTAGGTAAACATTCACATCCATACACATAGCAACAAAACAAATTCAATTCAACAGAACCCCATTTCATCTTCAATCAAAACATGTATGAAATTATAAGTAAATAGAGAATTAAACAAAAACCCAATAGCAAATTCATCAAAAAGACATGTCATACAGAGACAATGTTGGTAACTATATGATAAAATAGAGGGAAAGGAAAGAACTTGCCTTGGTCCCAATTTCAGAATCGAAATCATACTTCTCGAGAGCCTCGGAGAATTGGTCAAGGGTGAAGGAAACACCTTCCATGGGAGCAGTACGACATCTCTCGTAGGCTTGTTCGAAGAGTTCTTTGAGCTTCAACCTCTCTTTGTTCTGAGCATTAGCGAGTGCCACAGAACACACAACCACACTGTGCCTCCGCTTCAGCTTCTGTTTCTGCGTTGGCTTCGACGCTAATGGTGACCACCTCACTCCACTCAACTGCTGAGCCATACACGCCATCCCAACCTTCTTCGATATTCTCTATCTTCTTTGCTTTCTTCAGATAAGGTGAGAAATCTTGTAATAAATATAACAATAACCTTTTTATATATATATTTTTTTTAAGGGAAAAAATGTTTCTCATTTTAAATGACACTGTGTCATTTTTAATGAAATTATATCGTTTTGGTGTGTTTTTACATTCTCTCTCCTCTATTTTCTTTTTATTTCTAATTTTATAAATTAAAAAAATGACAAAACACACCAAAACAACGTAGTTTTATTAAAAATGACACAAAGTTGTAAAATGACAAACACTAAACATTTTTTTAAAAAAACTAATATAATCATAAAAAAATTGGTTGAATCATCAAAATATTTAATTTGCTAATATAATGACACTTAATATTTGTGGAACAACTAGGTTGTTGAAATACTACACCAAATACGTAAGGAAGATCGGACACATAAAAATATACTCTCACCTCATTTGTTCAATTCTACTGCAGCAACTGAACTACCATCATTTGATATATATATATATATATATATATAGGGTTTTATTAGTATCATGTTACATAACCTAAAAAAACTTTCCTACACACACAATTAAGAGGTGGGGTCCACATGTTTTTTTTTTCTCTTTCATCATTTCACTTTCTCTCTCTTCTTTATTGTGAGGGTAGAAAAATTTTGTTATATCATGTTACATTATTCTCATAAAACCCAAATATATAAAGCTTTGTTACCTTGGTGATCTTAGTGTTATACAATTTTGCCTAATATAAATTTTCATATCACATAATCCACTTATCCACCCATTTAAATTAAAAATATACAAAGTTACCTAATTACATTTAAAGTTATTTTCTTGTATGTTTGATGCTAGTAAATCACGTGTTTCTAATTTGAAAAGGTAAAGTATGTTACTTAAAATTTATTGCTTACAAAATGCGGGAAGGACTTGTTCGAGGTGTATTTCCAGCACCCAAAAGAGAGAGCATCTATTGCAAGGATATGTTACAACTTACAAACCTATTATTCCTAATGCATAATGTGAAACATTACTGTGCTGCATTCTGCATTATTAGCCAGCAGTTTGAGAGACCCTTTTGAAATAATGCTGCTAAAGTTTGCCAGCCAAATTTGCATGTAATGTCTGTGCTATTTAAAGAATTTGGTTGGGCTTAGATTCTTGCATGTGCAAGGAGGAAAATACGTATTAGAAGGACGTGAATATGTAAATGAAAAAATGGTGGGACTTTTATGAAGATAACAAGTTAAATTGCTAGAATGATATGGTTGTTAATTATCAATAAGCATTAACCTTTGATCACTTCATTGCAAGAGGAGGTTCGCATTTTGGAATTTGCCACTTTCATGATGATGTCACACATGAATTGCAAATTTGCAACTGCTTTTTGTGACTACCAACTAAGCTTTCTATGGTAGCAGTAAAGGATGTTCAAGGGCTGTGAAATATAATTACTCGTCCATCAGTGATGGGTACATAATATTGTCCACCTGCTTATCACCAAGTAATTTGTGATTTTACTATGCATGATTGAGATTGAACAGAATTTCACTTGTTAAGAGGGTTCTCTTGGTCATGTAGAAGTAAGCTTCACAAGGTGAATTTTCCTTCTCCTCTGTGCTTTAATTTACTTTTCCTACTAACATTCAGAAGCTGAGTAATACCAAGAACAGGATTGTAGCACGAAATATGAACCGGGATTCCATTCAAAGTCCTTGAACAAATGAGGGGAGGGACAGAAAACTTGAGTGTTACTCTTAAGCAGAAGGTCAAAGTGTGTAAGAAGTGGAAAGAACTGCTACTATCCAAGCCCACATTGAGTAAAGTAGCGAAAGAAAACTAGTGCTCTCGATATAAAATAACAGAGTTAGCCTCAATAGCATTCACGGAGCCGTGTGATGAGCACAGAGCGAACTATTCTTTCGCCTTTTACTAAAGAATACCGTGTGCTCGTCACTATAAGCGGCATACGCCTATTTTTGGAGGGTTCTTCATCTTTTGAGGGCCCCACAATTCTAGTATGAAATATCGTTATTTGTTTATGGGGTATTTTTTTTTAGTGTAATATGAAAGATTTTTCAGCGGATGTAAACTTAATATGTGGAAGAAATTTCTTTTTATATAAAAAAAGCAATTTGTTTAATTTTATGTTATAAAAAATTGTGGTGGGAAAATCACTGCACAGTACAGGTCCTAAATTGAGCGTTGTGTAGAAAATGGCAATGGCATCTTTTTTACGCCAAATAAAGTGCATTTTAAAAGCAGTTTAAAGCACGCTGGACCTTGTAGAAATGGCATGATCACATTACTTAATTGTACGGTCATCTTGTAGAACCTTTTCATTGTTAAATTGTACGATAACATAACATGGAGTTTCATAAAATATTGACTAAGTTCTTATTTTTGTTACCCAAAATACCATCACCTAATTTGTTTTAAAAAAAAAATTGTTATTAAATATAACCCTTTAACAGAGTAAAATCTCATCAAATTGATTTTTTTTTTTTTTAGGGGACTGAAAAATGAATGTAACAAAGCCTTGATTTAATGATTAATTTTGATGACATTTTGCAACAATTGATGGTATTTTATATTAATGAAAGACTAAATAAAAATCATTGAAAGGTCATTTACATTAAGTACTTCTCCCCCATCAACCAAAGCAAGAAGTACTATATATATATATATGAGTTTTATAATTGTCATGTAACATGAGAATTCAAATTTTCTTACACACCCTTCGATTTCCGTGCACACATGAATCCTACATATAATTTTTTCTAACATATGGGTCCCACATTTTTTTTATTTCTAGAACATAAGATTTAATTCTCATTCAATATGAGAATTATAAAATCTTATATATATATATATATATATATATATATATATATATATATTTAGACTCTACATTCTATCCGCATGTTTATATTACTGTTCACTAATCCTAATTACATTTATCATAGACCTAATTATTATCTTAATTCATTATGCAGATCGCTTATTAGCTCCGCTAGGGTGGTGAATAGTTAAATATACCAGACGGGGCAAGACTACTTAACCCATTTTATATTATGAGAAAATGTGATATACATGAGAGAGACTAGCAAGGGAAAGAATATACAAATACTTAAAATAAAAGCTTTAATTAAGAAAGGAGAATGATTTTTCTTTCAAAAATCCCATAAAGATTCTTAGAAGAACTGAGAAATGAAGAGCAAGATTATTTTATTTTATTTTTTCAGAAATGTAAACACTTATTTCAAAGAAAGAAGGATTACAGACACATTGTGAACATTTCAACACAGAATACTTGCACACACTTCAATCTTTATATTTTACAACTGAATTCTACATTTATTTATAGACTCGGACTTGAAACACAAAATTAAAATACAATGGAGAATCTCTTCTTTTCTGAGTCGGGTGCTTATTGGGCCCATCGTCACTTTAGATTAAAGAAGGAATCTCTGACAAATCTAATTTTTTTTTTAAAGAGAAACTCAATATTTCATAATCTTGTCAACACTAATAATTACAAAATAGTCTACCGACATTCACTATTTAAGATTCTCTTAATACTTTCTGTGATTATAATTTCTGCCGACACTTGAATAAACATCTAAACCATATCTGGTAAGCAAAAGCACATACATACACCCTTACAAAAACAAATCTTGCAGGTGTCCTTATGGCATGAAAATTTATACTTTATACATAGGATAAATTTAATGAGTATCTTCTTAGATGTTTCATGTGGATCTGCACCCTCAAGGTTTCGTCGCAACCAACATTGTATTCAGCAACGCAGCTGGACTAGGCAAGGGTCAAGTAGTTGTTTTAAGAAGTGCAGCGGATATGTCCACCTTCTATAGCTGCAGCATCGAAGGGTATCATTATTCTGAGTTTATATCGGAAGGCATTTTTACCTAGAATGAGATTATCTATGCCACATTTGACTTATTTGGAGTTTTGTTGCAAAATTACAACATCTAATGCCAGTTTCGATTAGAATAATCAGTTCAATGTCATATCACAATTCAAGGTTAAATTAAAAAAATTTGAAAGACTAACATTTTCATGCAAAACATTTTTTTATGAATAAAGTATGTATAAAAAAAATTCATTAAATAAGGTAATAATTTCTGTATAACTTTCTTTTTGGCAGTTCAAATTGTTCACATAATGTTTGTGCAAAGTATTTCCCCCCATCCCCTATAGTCTTGTATCTTTTCCCCAGTGGAATCATTGGCTTCTCTTTACTTCGACTTGATCCTTGAGTCCTATTCCATGTAATCTGACTGCTTAGTTCTTCAATATAAAATAGTCAATTTAATTCAACAGTTGTTACAAAAATATCATCAAAATTAGTTATTGAATTAAGGTTTCATTACACTCCTCTCTCAGTAAATAACCAAATCGATGAATTTTACATAATTAAAGGACTAAATAACAAATTAAACATGCACATGTTTCCCTAGAAAAAAAAATGACAATTTGGTATTAAACAGACTCATCAATGAAAGCTTTACGCGTTAATAATGACGACGTAATTTGCAAAGAAACTTCGGTTTTGTTACACAAATTCAGAGTTAGGATTTTAATTTCTGCCAAACGTACAATAACGTTTTTGTTTATCTAACGACTTTCCTACCCAAAAACACAAATCAATAACAGTTCAGACACAAACAAAAATCAACCAAATTAACAACATTTAATACTGGAATTACGGGAGCCTCCATAAAGGAAAAACCCTCCAAAAATAGGCGTATGCCGCTTATAGTGACGAGCACACGGTATTCTTTAGTAAAAGGCGAAAGAATAGTTCGCTCTGTGCTCATCACACGGCTCCGTGAGTTTTACAGAGGCCAACTCTGTGCTTTTATATCGAGAGCACTAGTTTTCATTCGCTACTTTACTCGATGTGGTCTTGGATAGTGGTAGTTGTTTCCACTATCTTATCTTTACTCTTGACCTTCTGCTCAAGAGTAACACTCGAGTATTCTGTCCCTCGCTGTCCACAATTGTTCAA